CTTACTAGTAATGATGTAGACATCATATCCAATGAACAAATTAGTAACTACATGGACCCAATAAATTATTGGATAGCGAGCTGGAGTTATAAAGTTCGAATATTAACATGAACAAATGTGGAATGCGGGTAAGTTTAAGTACTGAGGCGGGAATAAGAAGAAACTCACGTTCCGGATTTCACTGTTAGACATAATTCATCAATCATCAAATTTTATCTTGCCTAATTCATAGTGCTAATAAAAAAAAGAGATATGTGAAGTGTCCCCAAATGCCCTAGTACGGCCGACAGTGGAGAGAGTCCGGTCTCCCTCTCCAAATGCTCTTACATGGCCACGTGCACACAACCAATGCCTTCTCGCGGCAGGGGTGTTGTCTACGAAATTGAGAGGACGAAAAGCGAATGTCCGGCACTTTAACCGGGTCGGTGGATAAGGAGGATCCTCCTTGGGGATTAGAAAACCCTGATCCCAAACCAATGGTGCACATGGGTTCCAGGATCCTGAGGGGACAAATGGCGTATGAACCAACTGTTGGTCATCGGCTACCATGGGACTACATTTCCTTAAGTTTCTCCACTGCTTTGTGGATTAGACCCTTAGGTGAAAGCCTCCGGATATGGCCTCCTGAGAAAACCACCTGCTTCGGTCTGGACACCCAGGCAGTATCACAGCCCATACACAAATAAAGTGAAAATGAAATGATATAATTACTGAAAATACTACTCTCGTCTCGATTAAAAGTCAAACAATTCACATTTATTTTTATTTTTTTATGTACTATTATTTCTCTTATCTATCGTCTCTTATTCCCAACTTATACAGCAGCTCGCCTATGGTGGAAACTTTATTCCATCTAAACGATCTTGACTCACTGACTGGTCGAAAACTGAATGCGACCAACGAATACGGATACAGAAAGTTTTTCGGAAACCATATGTACCATTCGAACTGGCTGCCTTCAACGTTCGCACACTAATGCAGATTGGACAACAAATAGAGCTAGCTATGTCTTCAGAAAGTCTTAATATCGACGTTGGTTTTCTATCCGAGACCCATATTCAAGATTCTGGTGAAGTACTAATATTCGCTCTCCATCTGTCGCTTCGAAAAGCTTGTTTTACGTGCGTTTATCCGGGGACCCTGTGGCCTCTTCGTCTGGTCTTGCTGGCGTTGGTGTCGCACTAAGCGCTAGAGTTGAGGCAGCACTAATCGATTGGATCCCCGTTAACAGTCGGTTATGTGCTGTTAGATTAGAGAGTTTCATCGAAGTGAGAAGAAATCGGCGTGAGGAACGATGTCTTTTCGTCATCTCCGTTTATGCCCTGACAGATTACAGCCCGGATGCAATCAAGGATGAATTCTACCACCAGTTATCTGTTCTTCTCCGGAAAGTGCGTTCGACAGATAATGTAGTACTAGCCGGAGACTTGAATGCTCAGGTCGGGCGTCTAGGCACAGAAGAGAGTCGTTTAGGTGGCCGATGGGGACTTGTTGGTCACCAGTCAGATATCAGGGACCGTCTACTGAAACTGTGCGCAGACCAAAAACTTGTACTAACTACTAGCACAGTCATCGCCGATGTGCAACCTGACACTTTCTCTCTGTATCTCAAGCATGGACTCAGATTGATCACATCGCGATCAGCTACCGGTGGCGTGGTTGTGTACAAGACTGCTCCTTCTTTTGGACTACCTGTCAGAACACTGATAATGCTCTTATTTGCCCTAATCTTACTTTACGGATCGATGTCAGTAAATTGGTTGCAACTAAATGTCAAACCGAGCTAGGTTCAAGGCTACCTAACATTCCACTGAGAAGCATAGATGAGCATGGGTTGCAAATTCATGACGCCATCAAAATGGCGAGTAAAGCCGCTTGCGGCTTCGCGAAACGTCCCGCTTATAAGCACTCGGTTTCTTCAGGCTCTTTACAACTCGTTGAAACCTATGGGTCTACTCCGGGTGACCGTGAGTTTGACCACAAACGAAGGAAGTTACGTAATGAAATCGGGCGAAACTTGCGTAAGGACCGAGAAGCCTGGTGGTCGGAGCGTGCTAATGAGCTGAAAACAGCAGCTACATCTATTAACTACCGGAAGATCTTCCAACTCATCCAAGCCACTGGCAGCAAGAAGTCTGGTGTGAGCGAAACAATCTGCGAGGATGACGAGATGCTATTCACTGTTCTGCCCTTGATGGCCGGTGACGACTGATCCACCAAATGAGGCGGAAGTCCGCAGGAAACTCCGACTTCTGAAGCGCTACAAATCACCGGGCGCAGATGACCTACCTTCGGCTCTTTTTAAAGATGGTGGCGACCTTCTGATTAAGAAGCCGACTGCGTTGTTTTTTCCAAAGGTCTGGGAACTAGAGAGTGTACCAATGTCATGGAATGAGTCGATAGCTGTCCCTATCTTTAAAAAGGGTTCACGTCGTCTCTGTAACAACTATCGGGGGATAAGTCTACTTCCGATTGCGTCCAAGCTATTGGCTTCCGTCATACTTCGTAGGTTGTCCAAAACCCGAGAAAGATTGACTCACGAGGAGCAGGTTGGTTTTCGTTCTGGTTGAGGATGTATTGATCATTTCTTCACCCTCCACCAAATGTTAGAACATCGCCATACTTATCACTGGCCAACAATCATAGTGTTTCTTGACATCAGGGCTGCCTTCGATTCGTTAGACAGGACTGTTTTCTGTGATTGTCTATTGAAGAAGGGTGTGCCTGAGAAGTTTATTAACATCCTAAAGGCCCTATATACAAACACCTCAGGTAGAGTGAGGGCATACAACTACCTTTCTCCATTGTTCCATTCAAGCAGTGGGGTTAGACAAGGTTGCCCAGTCTCACCATTCCTCTTCAACTTTGCCATCGATGACATTCTGGAAACAGTTCTGATGGATGTATGTAATGACAGTGTGGATCTGTTGCCTGGAGAAAGGCTTCTCGACCTTGAGTATGCGGATGATATTGTCTTATTGAGTGATAATGCCCAAGTCATGCAATCCGCATTCAATCAGCGTCCGTAGTTATGGTATGTGCTTTGCACATTCGAAGTGCGAAGTACTTTTACAAGACTGGCAGGATTCTAATCCTGTACTCACCCTGGATGGTGGGCAGATAGAAGTAGTCGAGAAGTTCGTGTATCTAGGTAGCTGCATAAGTGCTGGTGGTGGCGTGAGAGATGAGATCAATGCACGTATAGTGAAAGCCAGAGCTGCTTATGCCAATCTTGGTTATCTTTGGCGCCTTCGTGATGTCAGTCTGGCTGTAAAAGGTCGGATCTACAACGCGTCGGTGAAAGTAGTCTTGCTCTCAAACTATGTAAAACTAATAACATGATTAACTAGTATTAAAAGAGAGGAGAACTGAATTGTAAAATTTGGTTGAGAATTACTAATATCAATGTTAATACTACTTAAAAAAGAAACCAATCAACTAACCTAAGACATTGTCTCCCGGTAACAGATTGCATAATTTTTGTTTCATATATAACATCATGCTCAAATTTACTCATTGCGATTTTAGGTTTAAAACAATCCAGTCTCACTGGTTGATGATGTAGAGTAGAAGGCACATCAACATTTGGTGTAATACGATGATAAGACAATAATTTTGATGATGTATCATTTATTAAAGCTAATGTCTGACAAGCAACAAACTGATGTGTTTCACATGAACTTGCCAGTTGTATACTGCCTATACCTGAATCAATTCTGTTATTTTCAAGTGTGGTGTAAGGTGCTTGATGAAACAGATAACAACCACCGGGATTTTCACCCGGTGATTTATACCAATCTGTATATCTGACCGGTTCATTATCATAGGTTTCCCATGTCCAATTCTATAATAAAAAAGTGGGTAATTATTTTTTTTTTTTAAAAAAAGAGCTGATGAATAAAGAATCGTGAATGCAAAATATTCGAAAAATCATTCAATGAATCGTTACAAAGAATGAGTTCATACATGTTATTGACAATGAAAATAAACTGAATGATTAAGTGAACACTAAAAAAGTTCACATAACTACTGTAAACAACTGAAGTTTGAGGACAATCATAATTCTTTCAATGTTCAATAGCAGTGAGATATTTTATATTTTCACGCACTTTTTTTTGTCAACGTAGTTTCAGTACTTTATATAAGAGTGTACTTTTTAGTAAGGACTTTGCTTTAATCGTCTAAAGCCATCTACATGTCTTCTGTAAACACGCTAGTGTAGCTTATTCCAACTTAGCATTAACTGAATAACTGAACGGCAAAATGCTAGATAATGCAGATATATTGGATACTGAGATTCAGAACTGTTACAAATTCCTGAACGTGTATCTTATCCTTAATTGGTCATATTTCAACCCGACGATTAGTTCAAATAGATTATGAACCTTCAAAAACATCAGTTATACAGAGAGAAGGAACGATTGGATAGCAGCAATTTTTACAATCAATGAAATCAGATATTACAGATTGGATGTGAATGAAAATAAAAACTTTATTACATTAAGATTCAGAGACATAGATCTAAGGAGAAATGATCATTGTATAGTTAATATTAAATTCAAAAATCAAAACAATGTTTCGCAGAGTTTCGCAACCGGTATTAACTCATGATGAACATTCAATCCAAGACGTTCAACCATTAAGCTGCACACCTATTTATTTCGAACTGAAACAAGCAGTATTAACATTCCGAACCGCTAACACTGTTAGTTTAGTTCATTCACCAAGTACAGACTTGTGTTTTTGACTTGAAGATACGCGTTAAGCGTGAGGTATATTGTGAAACTGTAGTGAACAGGACACGGGTGGGGACAATTGAATGTATTTAACATAAAATTACAGGATTTGTTAATAAAATCTAACAATCATAAAATAAATGCTTAATTTGCAAAATGTCCATCGATTGTCTCAAAATGACTCAAACTTCATTGTTCTTGCATTTTCATACAAATTGCATCTTGTTTCCATTCTTTACTGTTCGATCCTCTTGTCTCTCTGCTGCCAGACCTTCTGTTCACGACTAAGATCATATACTAATTATGTCAATGTAAGTAGCACACACCACAAAACCACCCGGTTGACTGAATTAAATTAGGTGAAACGGAGTTCGAGCGTGTGACTTCGTAGCTGTAAAAAGCACGAATCATTGAGTGATTGCTTTATGTAGTCAGTATGCAAATGACATTAATCAAAGTCAACCAATTTCCTTTAACTGTCTCTAAATTTCTGAAAATGGCAACGTTATCATCTTTGCGAAACGCTTCCAAACAAGCAAGCTAAACAAAGTAAACGAAAGGGGAGAGAGGAAGGAGGAAATAAGAGCATCAAGCAAATGATCATAAGACAACTAACTTACTGCATAGCAACCAGGGCAAGTAGTTGGTACTTTTAAAGCTGTCCAAACTGCTTCACTAATTGGCAGTCCACCACCACTGACATCACGTGGTTGGTTAAGCCATACACGTAGAAAACTAGCTTCAAACACTGATGCAATCGTCAGCAAACTGACGTTATATGTTGGAGTGCTTAAATTTTTGCAAGCCATATTTGCTGACTGAAGTGAAAAGCAAGATTGAATTTGAAAACAAAAAAATTGTTTCTATCGTTACTGATTTGTTTTTCTTAGCAAGGATTCTTGAAGCTAAGTTCCTTACCCTTAAAAACACTACATACTGCTAGTACTTTATTATTCTAGAATCTAGCTCATTTTGTTACTGATGTACATAGAATGAAAAGACGGCTAGGAGCAGATAAACATTACATTAGTCTAACATATCATTAAATATTGAATTGCGCTGTCTTAGTAGGTTTGTGGCTTCATGAATTTGTAGGACATTGAGTAGCATGATTCAGAATATGTTTGAATTGGATGGACTAACTCACTCTTCGTCTTCGCTTTAGATACTGAGTTTCAAAATTATTTTATACATTCAGTTACGTGAATTCATTCTCTTTTCTCGAATCATACTGTTTACGATTTGCCTTATCTATTACCACACTAGCATTTTTCTTGATACTTTCATGTCGTAATTATAATTCGATGGTTAGAATAAAATGGTGATGAAACATTAGATTCAGTGCATTACTGTGTTCTTTACTCGACATAGTACAACTGCTACGAACATGATGTAAGTCTATATCAATATTATTCGTGCATCGTTGAGTAACGTTTAGTGGTTCCTACATAATTGTTAGTTTATTATTTAGTTATTCCAAGAACTCGGAATCAGTAAAAACATTAGCACTTAGCAAATATCATCTCCATCACAGAACAAAGCAATAAATTTGTGTGAAACACTGTTATTCTCATACAAAATGACATTTAGCAGCTTACATCATGAACTGATGTTAGTTGAACAACCACTGAGAACTGGGAAAAACTGGATAGCTCATTTTGTAGGACTGTGGAACTCCTCAACAAAACGCGTGCATGACCCTTTTAAGAGATCGAAACTAGGAATGTCAAATCTTGAGTAAAGCGATTAGACTTTAGATCACTGAGTTGATATTCAATGGTTTGAATGTATGGGTTGGTTAATTCACGACGCTTAGACTGTAACAAAACAAACATAAGACTTACAGCCCAGTTCATTTTAGCGACATGATTGAAAACGCGATAACACATAGGTTGAGAAAGTTTCGCCATTGATTGACCTTTAACTTTTAACAGACCAGTTGTGCCCAACTGGAAACCCGATGGACAATAAAATGTCTCTGTTCGATACGGAGAGAGAAACATTTGATTAACATGTCTATTTTGATAAATTGGTGAAGCTTGACATAAACTACTTAAATAAATTGGTTCATCACACGACCATTGAAGCCAAATTCCATTCAATCTTGGATCCGTTGCACGAAACATTGACGTGCATAGCTAGTTGGCATAAAGAAAAAGTGTATATATGTATATAAATAAAAAATAATAATATAAATGCAGATAAGAACTGGTGCAAGTACATGATACATTCAGAAAACTCGAGTAATATATATTTGATAAGAATTTTGAATATAACTCAGTATATATATATATATATATATATATATATATATATATATATATACAACTTAATGGTATGTCATAATGACCAAAAATATCTAATTATTTTGTGTACAAATTGAAGTATTCTTGCACTGAGTAATAGATCAAACTTACGATCACTAATATCAGTCAGCTAGTATGCTGTTAACAATACCAGTTGTTGAGTATGAAACTTTAAAGAATAAAAACAATTTGTCTATGCTTGGAAAATTTCAACAAACAACTTGTGATATATTAACTTAATAAAAAAATTCGGTCTAGTAAATCTTTTTGAATCAAAATGAAATTAAATAATATCGATAAAGGGAGGGTGGGAATTTTAAACAGAAACATCTATCCAAAATGAATGGATGAATTATTTTTTAAAAACCCACAACATTGAAGAAAAGAAAGAACGAAAACAAGTATTTCATTGATCTGGATTTGGAACCGTGTCTTCAGTCAACTAAACATGATCATTCCACAAATCGGAATCAAGAAATCTACGCTTTCATGAAACAATTCAATAGTTGATAATTTCGTAATCTTTCTTCAACTTACTGATATGCTTAACAGTGAAATAAGTTGATGTACACGATAAATAGACATCTTGATAAACAAAAAAAACCTGAGTTTTTAAGTACAGAACACTTCGTTAAATATTTTCAGCTTGAACAAGAGAAGTTAACTGAGATTTCGCAAAGTTTTCGGTAAGTGTGTCAATGACACAAACTCGTTTAGGATTTGCAATCGTTACTACATAGTTCGGTCAACAGCACATTTTTTTATTTGAAGCTAATAGACATATAATCTCGAAAACTAAGTTGTTTCAGGACACTTTAGGCAATTATAAGACTTTAAATTTAAATCTCATGTGAGATTACAGGTATTCCTATATAATATTTTTGTAATTCAATTTTCAAGAGCACATTTCTGCATTTAGCTGTGGAGCTATATATAATGTGTAAATATACAACTCGGATATCAAAACCGCATTAAACGGAATGAGGCTCGAACCTGAGAACTGGTGAATGAAAGTCGGGAGCCTTGACCTTTGTGGCACTCCCCATAAATATCAACTTCGGTCAGTAGAAACAATTACGTAGTTAGAAAAAAAATCCAACTCAACTAATATCAGTTTGGTCAGTCAAGTGATATATTATTACCGTTTATATTTTGTTCGAGACCAGGAGTACAAGCAACGATTTGATCAGTGAGTTTTAGATTTGAATAGATTTTCTAGAGACATAAAACTAAAAAAACGAATGTTGCGTATTATCATTTGGTTAATAACAAGTGATAAATTAATGGGAATAAAGAACCAAGGAAATAACATACGCTCATTGATTTCGACTTGATTGAAATAGTTCGTCGTGAAACAAAAGTATGACCATACACAGAAAGTTGATGATCTCTTATAATTGGCTTGATGAATTGAGGCTTTTTACCATCTGACCAATCGTAACTGTGAGAACCATGTGATAAATTACGGTACAAACCAATCCATACTGCAGACGATTTTTCAGGTTCAAGATTATCTAGAAGACTAGCTAGGAACTCTGAAATAAAAAAAAATACAAGAAAGATAGATGAACAAAATAAATAAAATATATACGAGTTTCCTCTATTGCACTAAGATAAGCATATACGGAGAATGAAACTGGAGTCTTGAATCCTACCACTGTTAACTATGAAACAAAAAATAATCGACATCTATCAGTGGAGGTCAACCATATGACAGGAACTTATTGATAAGTTGGGTGGATCCAGACATAGCAAATGTATGTGTTCACACATTATTTAAGGAGCAAACAGCAGGCCCGAGATTACAGAAAGGCACGCAGCTAGATAAAGCCAATTATACACCTAGTTAAGGTCTTCGCCTATATTTGCCAACGTCTAGATCAGAAAGATAGATGTATATACACATATGTTATGCATTCATTGTACTTGGCTCGCTAATTACAGTAACATGATCATTTCGCAGTCTACTTACTTTCAAAGTAGGTTGAGCAAGCATGCAAGAAGTGTGTTTATCTGCAAGTCGATTAGACGATCAAGAAATATAACGTTTATTAATTCGACCATGGATATTATTAACGAATCATTAGACTCATATATAATAGCTATCAGACAGAAAGTGGTTATGAGGGCTAAGTCGTCTAGTGAATAATGAATGTTGCGATGTTTGAAGCAAAACTTGTAAACTATCGTAACTATTATTCACAGTCGCTGTATAAGATACTCATTGCAATAGACCCATTCCAGAAAAAAATTATTCATAAGAAACATTTTAAACTGGTTCATTAGAAATAAACATCAAACTTTTATCATATACACCTATCAAGTGAACATCAAAACGCCTATTTTTCCCTTTGCTACATTTTTAGAATGTTTCATCATGGAATAAATTTTTACTTCAACTAGTGAATGACTGATAGCTATTCAAAAGAATATTAAATTTCTTTTAGTGAGTTGGAATTCATATTAAACTCTGTAGAATGACCAAATCAATAAAGCAGGGTTGGTTCAGTTAAAGTCCCTCTCTCTCTCTCTCTCTCTCTCTCTCTCTCTCTATATATATATATATATATATATATATATATATATATATATATATATATATATATATATATAATTTAAAATTGGTTGTACAATTGTAGAACACCCCATACTATTCATCCTATAGCTCAATGATTAAAAGCGATACGAAATTCAGGCTACGAAATAGATAATCATAGTTTAGACAAGAGATTAAGTAAAATTCGTTTCGGTGTTAAATGATGTACTGATAGTTTTACCAAATATTAGTTAACGTATAATACAAATGTATCACATGGAAGTTACCATAGATTCTATTAGATGGGAGGACATTTAGTATACAGCAATATAAATATTAACGTTCATGATCGGACATTCAACAGGAGTTTATTGTACACTGTGCAATGACGTAATTTATTTGATAATCAATAAATAAATGTCTTATTAGAGATAAGATGAAATGTCCTTTAAAACCCTATTAAATTAATAGGTAATCACTTACAGGGAGGTGTAGAAGTTGTAAAATTTCGTAGTTAAATATCACAAACAAATAATAAAAACTAGAAAGCAATAGACAACTATTTCATACTAAAATGGCCTATCCACGACTCTACTGGGGATGGAATGCACGAACCTAAGATCTTGTCACAAATGATCAAACTTCATAACAATTAATCCATAATCAAAGTTTAAATTCTCAACTTTCGTCAATTCATGATATTACGCGACAGTTGTCGATTGATGCTTCCGATATTTATGTCATACTCGACATGACAGAACTTCAATGGTCATGGTTTCTCATTTGTATTTCAGGAATTACCAAAGTTAATCACTAATAAGCACATGATTATTATTTTATAATATAGAATTTCAGAGTGCTCAAGTAGGCGAACAATGTGTTGATACCGTAAGAGATAAGACAAAACAATTTTTTAAGGCGTACATTGACCTCGTATGTTACAAATTCCATAATATTCTGGAATTATTGCTTTATTAATTTCTAAATGTGTTTACTTTTTACCTATTTCATATTCTAATTTTTGTTCAATAATCGATTTCACTCGGTTATTGATCAATTCGGCCGACGGTCAAAACAATGCACAACAAAATAAATATCAATACACATATTAAGACAAGAAGCACAGTTAAAAACTCTCTCAAATTTAATAACACTTTAAATTAAGCAAATTATTCGGAACATTGAGCTGGTGTTTAGGAAAGTCGTTTAATGTAAGTTGGTTAATGAATATTACGGTATCCATTAAACAAAACATGTACTTGAGATATACCTTTAAACGATGACTTTTTCATTTAAAGTAAGAAATGTACAATTAGGTAACTCTCTCGAGAACTAAATAGCTCAATGAAAAACACGTTAGTGTTTAAATTGATAAGAATTTGTTTTGGGTCCCAAAGTAAATATCAACATTCAAATCCCGATATATCCAGCAGGCAAATCCCAAAGAAGATAAAACGTGAGTCCTATATTGTTCGGCTGTTGTTAATTGCTTTCTTCTTATTCTTCCTTTCTTGAATCATGTTCAGGGTTTTGATAAATATACATTCCTTATGAAGATGTTTCTTGAGACTCAGCACATAACACGTTGAAGTTGGTACTTCTTTGATCCCTTTCCATTTGTCCTCCATATTAGTGTCTTCTTCTTCCAGTAGATCTTGTAAGGCTTGGAACCTATAGTTGAGAATTATCTTGAATTCATCGAGTTTGTCAGTATCTCGAATAAAGGTTGTACTAAACTTCTTTAATGATTTTTCTCAAGTTGCTCAGTGCTTCTTTAGATTCATTTTTATCTTGGACATAACCAGGTGGTAATCTGAAGCTATTCCAGCCCCTCACTTAATTCTCGTCTTATATTGATTTTTTAGTGATACATATATGGTCGGTCTGGCTTCCTGTGAGACCTGTGTATGCGTTTGTGAGGGGAATAAAGTGTGATAGAAAACTATTCTATTAAAGGCAAATAAATTTACAAATCTCTCATCATTCTCATTCCTTTCTCCCAGTCAGTCCATGTTGTCCCATGATATCTTCATACCAAATGTCTATTCCGACTTTGACGTATAGGTCTCCCATCAGGATAGTCAGGTCCTTTCCTGGGTATGTCTCTACGACCGACAATAGTTTATCATGAAAATGGTCTTGTCTTCATTGCTATCACTGGTGTGTGCATCGCACTGGGTAAAGTTTATTCTGATCCCTTTCTTCTTTTTTTTTGAAGGATGCTTTGATGATTCCGCATTCATGAGATTCCCATCCTATAACTGCTTTACGTGTTTCCTTGCAACTACTTTTGTATGCGGAGCACTTTCTTTCTCGTAAACAGGGTACAGCAGCATCTCTCCCAAATCTATCCTTTTCTTCCTGGCTTGGGTTCAAAGGGTTTCACTTATTCCGAGAACCGGTAACTTGCAGCTTCTCCTTTCCGAAGCTATTTGAATGGTCCTCCTGGTCTTCGAGATTGTCTGGACATTTTATGTACCTACATTAATCGTTGTTCTGGTTGTTAGAATGTAAACCGGATTTGAGGGTTTCGAAGAATCTCAACTTTCACCGTGAGGCGTCATAATTCTTCCAAAATGAGGATAAATCAACTCCCAACGTATAGTTTATTGCTGTAAATGACTTTTTCTAGTCGGCGATTACTTTAGCAAAGTTGTTTTTTATGGCATATGGGTTGCTAACCCTATGCCTAAACCTCCTTCTCTACTCGGGCTTGGGACCGGCAGGAAGCCTATATATGCAAGAACAAAGCCGACTTCCATGCCGGAAGCCCGTGACTGGAAGTAATGAGTTTCAAGTCACCATACCAACATTGCCATCACACTAGTACACCATTCCACCTGAGAAAAAAAATATCTATAATAGTAAAAATAATAATTGGTACGTAAAAAATACATTTTTTTTCTTACGCTGATCAAGTTCATTGTCGATACGGGCTAAGGATCCATTGTAATTTGCATATGGCTTTACAATATGATGACAATTATCATTGGCTTCACTCCACGTAAATTTGTCTGTTATCAACTATGTACAGAGAAGTTTGAAAAAAATTGTGATTATTTATATATACTAAGGATTAGACAAATATGACAGCGGTTACTGCAAAGTCACCACTCGACTGTAAATACATTACACTTCTACAAGGGATCAGTAGCGGTCAGTCAGTCAATCGCAACATAGAGCCTATTACATATGTACATAGGTTGCCATACTTCATTAGCAGAGAAACATGAAATTATCAAGTCAAATCTTAAATAGTAGAGTTAGTAACAGTATCAATAGCAATAAAAAGGATTAGACATAAAAGATACGATTCCGGAAAAGATAAATTAGTAAAATAAAGAAGGAAAAAGTCATGAGGAATTCACAAGCTTGGAATCTCGGTGAAGACAAAGAATGAATGCAACTGCACCATCGCAAACGATTTTGAACCACATCATTCAAAGTTACTAACTACAGTAGAGGTCAGAATAACTTACAAGTCACATCTCACACTTAGTGAAGTGAATGTGAATCACACAGGGAGTGTCAGTTACCACAAGACTGAAAGCAAACCTTGCTGGCAAGTGTCAATTTGAAGAAAATGTAAGGTAAATGAGGATTTTCTAATCACCTCTTTCAAGCATCGAATGGATAACTAAAATGTAACCTTCTACAACCCCGCCATGTCCAAATATTATAGAACAACGAAGTGAAGCATGTACACTGTATGAACATGAAGGCCCTCATCTTTGTGTCTGATAGCTGTTTGAGTTGCATTATCAAGAACTGAGCGATAATATCTGTTTTACAGATTTAAAACATTTATCGTCAAGTATTACGGTTGTAGATATTTACTTCAGTGATTTTGAGGCCTTGGACAACCATTCTGTATAATGCAGATGTATATACAAACTAGTCAGTGAATGTGTTCACTAACCTAACATCAAATAAACTGTAATAGCATGATCATTCACGTGACTGGTAATCAGGTAATAAAACCATCGGATGAAACAATCAATATTTTAGCCTACAAATAGGAATGCAGTAACGTTAAAACCATACTATTTGTGTTTCAAATATCCTTGAAGTATTATGTTGGTTGTCTGCATGAATATTGACTGATATCATCAATACGTGCTTGTGCTTTCAAAGAAGCCGTATTCTTGATTTAATGGAATAATGCTCATAAAATACGCGATTGTGTTTTTCACCTAAACAACATGTTTTAACTCACGTATATGCTCATTTGTGTTGTAATGATTACTGAACCGTATAGCATAATACCATGTAGTGTAGAATAGCATAGTACAAAATAAATAAACACGTAGCAATATCCGATAAGTAAGACTACCAGCCCCACAACTGAATGAATACGGGATCACGATCATTTACATAACACTAAAATAACATTATTAACGTTATCATAACCCGAACCAGACAAATTGTTAATCAATACATTCATTGCATGAAATGTTTTAATTTTAATGTTTATAGTTAGTAAAAAAGAATCAAACAAACTCAAAAACTTCCCACATTTCATTTCCAGTAAGCAGAACAGAAAAATAGAAAAAAAGAACATTGTTTACAACAAAACATAAAACAGTGATGACAGTGATATGATTAAATAATTATGACAATATTTATAATAATACTCTGGGATTTCGGATATATCAATCTATCTGTACAAACAACATCGAAGTGTCTAATTTGTATGTGTGTGTATATGCATGGTTTCACTTATGTGTGTAACCGACGATGTACATATACGCTGGGTGACCTACCATTATATTCGTCTGCTACTTCATAAAATTCCATTGCATGCAACAAGGCGGAATTTTTTCACAGTTGGAGAAATGGTCATTCACTGTACAAGAATCGAAGATTATGGGTATGACTGTAACGTTAGAGTAGCATTACGGAAAAAACGCTCACTCGAGATATTACCCAATTAAGCTTTAGATATTGAAGGTTCTGGGGGCAGTCTACAAGGAACTCTGCGACTGGATTTCGTGCTAGTCGCCTCACCCTAGCAGCATATATCTGGAATCTTAGATAGGATCGATCACTTTCGTTCAATTTGCCTCCCCAATCGGTTAGTGGTTACGTCTCTTGTTGGAATACAGAATAACAAAGTGTTCAAAACACACGGAGCATTATTTCGCTAAACAATCAAAATAAACGTAATCGATGAGCACTAACAGTAAGCCATAGGGCTTACTGTCAGTCACTACCAGCCAGTGGGAATGTAGTGCAACCAATGTTCAGACATGTCAACTATCGATCACATTTAAACTTAATGACTAAAATTCAATCAATATTGAGTATGATGTTGTTTAGTAATCAATGACTAGTTAGTGCACACTATAAACAGGATTACTTTATGTGTAGATAAAAGATAAATATAACATAATAATAATTTACTTGGAAGCAACGGTCCCCATGGAATCGGAAACCAGGAGGACATGTTGGGTATATTAATGAATCAAATGTAGTTGGATGTAATATCGTTGTAGATGGATTCAAATTCAATCTACATATAAAACTCAAAGACGGTTTATTACATGGCATAGCTTTCCAGTTTATTGATGAATTAACTATTAGAATAATAGGAAGAGAAAACGTTCTTTAGTTAACGTGAAACATATATGCGTGTAACAGTGTCTATTTACAACCTTGTTCATGTTATTCAGAAGTTTGATGGAAAAATCCACTAACTGAACTTTTTTTCATAAAAATATTAACATTCGGATCAAAGGCTTATAGCAAGTTGTTATGAAAAAACTAAACCAAGTAGTATTTCGTTAGGGATGCTAGATTGTTTCACTTTTAATCCATCTTAGGTAACTGTAATTGTTTGAACAGATGGAGGCTGATCTCGAACTGGGAATATTCTCACTATTTTTAGTAGAATTTCGTTCTCTGAGCTGAATATTCTTTACTGTGGATCTTTAATTGTTTTTCTAAACAACATCGTCAGCACAAACTTCAAGTCGATGAGAAAATTCACATTTCTCCATATACGACTCTCAACTTGTCATGACAATCTCGATCCTGATTGGTTATCGCTGACCTTTAAACTATCAGATCAATTAGCAATCAATCGATCCAATTTATTAGCCAGTCATAAAAGTCATGAACAAATATAGGACCAAGAATCAGATCAGAGGGAGATACAATGAAAATAAACAGGGAGATAGTGACAGCTTATAGGCCAACAATAACCAATCAAAATCGAGGACAAGTTGAGATAAAATCGTCTGAGTTAAGGAACCAACATAAAACATTAAATGTCATTATCGATTTCTTCGTAATTTGATACAACTCATGACCTGTGTGATCATATCGCTTCATAGAAAATAGAACAAAAGAACTACTAAGTACTGTGGTAAGTGCACTATTTAGATAGTTAAGATTTTGCGGTTTACTAGAGCACATATCCAGCTTTAAACAGTCGGTGTGATAGTATAACAATCATTAATAATCATAGGACCATATACCTGTCCAATTTTATCAAATATGAATGAACAACAATAATCCCTAATTGTTATTGTACACACAATTGACAGCAGTAAGCTATAGAAAAAATTAACTTTGCGATTTATTAAAGTTTACTGAACTTCTAATGCTAATTTCACTACTTAAAATAAACGGATGGAAATCACACCACCAATAAATGAAAATACTAGTACTGATTTGAACATAACTTCAGTCCCATAGTTTACATTATGAACTGACAACTGTTGGAAACCAAGAAGGGCTGAGCAGATATTTCCTCCTAGTATAAGGCTACTCAGCAAAGCATATCTCTGACCTCACTGGAGAAGATGAATGGATAATACCACGAATTAATAGAAATTAGAAATGTAAACCGCTGTGTTTCAACTCAATGGCTCAAACATTAAGCGCTTACTCAGTAGGCTGAGGTTCCTGGGTTCGATCCCAGGTAAGGTTTTTATAAGTAGTTCTATGCTAGGACTTTGTAGTTATCCGGTATCTGTTAGTTTTCCAATAACTGTCCAGTCGAGGTCAGTCTTTAAAGTAAACTATGAAGTTCAATAATATTTGAAAACCCCCATACATATTTAGTTTGATTTTTTTATCGTAATAAATAAAACAAACCTGAATCCAGCACAAAACAATCTTGCATGTAATGTCTCGACTCTTTACTGATGTCAGCTGAAACTGGAATATAATTAATATCAGTTTGATCAGACCATTTGTAAGCAAAATTTGATTCATACAATCCAATCCAGGTAGTGGGCATTGATTGTGAATTTAGATGGATAATTTCAGTCTAAACAGGGGATATATTTTCGTGTCAATATGAACAATTGTAATAAAAAACAAAGACTACGTACAAGTAGCATGACTAACTGTAAAGATACATTTGTCTTACGTTGAAAAACTTGTTTGCTTTCAGGAACAACGGTAGAATGTATGTATAAAGAACGGCACTTCGGTTCATCTTTAAGACTAGAGATCGTGTAATCCGCTGTTTGATGAGGGATTTAAACGAATGGGTCAGGCTATATCAGGGTACTTAAAAACAGGATTAAAACCGAAACCATGTGGAAATTACATGACGACGCAGATAAGACTGTCGATTAATAGGTTAGTATCAGAAATGTTAAAAATGAAGGGCTGGTTGTAATCTCGATTGTCCAAATGGATTATGTTATATCGCGATGTGAATAATGAATGGTAACTTTTGGGATCCATTTATGGACCAATACTATGCGCATATTTTTATCGTAGGATTGATAAATAACTTAACTATTCATATTCGTGTTCCTCTTATCATAAGCTTTATTCTGAACTATGAACTATTATTATACGATCTACCATTCTTGAGTTATGCCCTGTCTATCGATTACTACCTCCCACATTCACAGCCACATTTGACTCAGTCTTGTACAAATGTTGTTTCCTATTTTATTTGTACAATGTGGTCTGTCTGGTTGGTATATAAACCCCGTATGTTTGAAATAAATGATTCATATTGCAAAGGCTGAGATTCGTGTTCTGGACTGAACTGGCTGGGTTAGGCGGAAAGCAGGACCGATAAGGACTCTAGACTACTCGTACGGGTTTTATGCATCATTGGTCCGGCCAATAATTTCCTGTTCTTTAATTGGCGATATCATTACGTTATACATTAACAGGGCACACAGGACACAAGTTACAACAGATTACCTTTAGGATGATGTTAAAAAAGAACCATGTGTTGACTATTGATCAAAATATGTGAATTATGCATGCACTCGTATCAGTCGGGTGTTTTCTGACAAATAAATATCAACAAAGAACATCCTAAGACTACAACCTTCAAATTAATCTAGCAAAATATTGTTTCTTGATGTTTAATAATTAAAATTTAGTAACTGATCAACCGGAATCTATTAACATATACCAATTATGATTGGTCAAATAACCAGATTACAAATCGATGAGGGTAAAAATCAATAGTATTTTCCGAACTTGGAACTATTTGAATTATGTATTTATTTCACTTGGTCAATCTAACCAATCATTAGTAATGTAGAAACATAATATATATAGCTGCCTCGATTCCAGTTGTCACATGTATATCAACAGAAAGAGATGAAACCATTCAGATGAATCCCGGAATAGTAAAAGTAATAATAGTAGCAGTGGTGTGAGAAAAAAAACAATATAATTTGAGAAAGAACTAATTCTCAAAATAAATAGCAAAAGTATTTTAGGACGAGGAGTGAAGAAATCTGAGCCATGTCAGTCAGTATCTTCAACTATTACTAACCACAGTCGCGCGGATCCCAATTAGGTAGTTTGAATCTACCTGTATAGTGGTTTAGACCTGTAGTTAAAAATTTCATGAACTGATATTGTCTTGGTTTACCTGCCCCTAACTTTCATCAAAGATACACCCTCGAAATCAGTAAACATGTCAACAGGTTGCCCAAGTGTTTTTTCTTTAAATCCACACTGGTATACGTAACAGTAATTACCGTATAATTACTAAACAATGATACTTACAATTTCATTTAATTCAGCATGTGAATGAATTGAGACAAGATGTGCATTAGCGTGCATATTACGACAAATTGATTCAGCATTGCTCCAATCTATTGCATCATTCAACAATCTACTATAACAATATGGACCAACTTTACTACGCATTGGGAATGATTTTTCGGTACAAGTTGTAGTAATAGTAGTAGTAGTCAGCGGCGATTTGATTTCTGTGTTAAATTTAAAAGAGTAAAAAAAGTACCGTTATACATACATTGTTAATCATCAATAAACTTGTTGATTAAGAAATGCATAACATGTACAGTTTCTTTTCGAATATGTTCTTCTATGCTTAGTCTGCTTCATCATCACTAATACTGTCACTATATACAGCAAACTCTAGTATCTCGCTGCGATGAGGTGGAGTAGCAACTTGAATGGAAGGCCATATGTTCAAGGTTCTATGTTGTGTTCGGCTGACTGGAATACCATTCCTAAGAAAAATCAAGCCCGAATCAGTCTTCAACGTAAAGACTAAAATCGACATTTTTATAGCAAGTTGCATATGAAAGTTTGGATCTAATGCCTTAGAACTCATATATTTAGTTATTAATTTTCAAAGATACTTGAAGATTTTCTTAAAAATACCCGTGTATATTATTAGTCGAAGCAGTAATAAACTTTCTTAGTATTTCACAGTTGAAGTCACGAGTCGATCTAAGCTAGTTTATGTTAGAAGAATGAGGTTAGAGATTCGATGAGGATAGAGATGAACGGGATTGCCATTTTGTGTTATTGAGACCTAATTTTGAATAGGACAACTGAGTATAATAAATAATACTGGTATTTATAAAATGTCACCTTTATACCGAGTATGAAAAATGACTATTTTGAGTTAACTACCTTACATAAAATAAAATGAGTCTACATGTACACACATTGGTGATGATCATCATAATGAGTTTATAGTTTAAATACTTTTTGATGCATGATTTAAGTTTATAAGATAATGGGCACTGATTTTCAGCTTCGTAAGTGCAAAGTTACATGAGTAAATATCTCGACTTTTTTTACAAGTGAAAACAAAATATTACGCCTATACAATGACAAGGATTAATGTTATATGTCTGTTAGTGTTTTGTGACAAGGCTTATCTGAAATCCATAGGTCAGTCAGTCACGATCAACGTAGATGTATAAGCACAAGTACATACAAACATACACGTTTACCTCGTCTATCATCCATAACAGTAGTTTGCCGTTGCTGTTGTTGTAGTAACAGATCCAGTTTAGACAATTGGCAAATAAAACTTTTTTCCTCCATACAATCATTAATATCCCATGAATAACGGTGATGTCTATCAGTGACTGAGATACAATTTTCAGGATTCTCTAGTTCATTCAATGTAGTAGAAGTATCGGTCGAAGGAAATACAGAGAAGTCCATAACTGAACCATCACTCCATACTAAATTCACCGAAGACGTAGGTTTAATACCGGAATCTGTTGATAGGGTTTAAGAAGACAGAGAGGTATGCGGGGATGAATATAAAGAGATAGGAAAAAGATAATACAGCAATATATTTGACAACTAAATTTCTCCAATTAACATTCTGTCAAGGGTATTATTGTACACTGGACAAGTGTAGAAATACGTAACGCAGAAAGTGATTACCGTACAAGAATTCTAGATGATAGAATCACTAAAAACTTACACAGTACAGGTAAACTCTATAGTAATGTGTATACACCATTCATCAAAAAGAGTTGCTCACTACTCAGCTTTAAGTTTGTTTCCGTTCAATTACAAAGTAATTGAAAAAAATAGCCACGAGAGGTTTAAATTGGATTGTAGCAAGTATAACAATATTCAACTTGTCTCAGCTTTCTACGATTAGAATTAAAAAATACTTTCACCAGTTCCATCAATACAAATTAAGCCCAAAATAAACAGGAAGACAAAATGTTTGTCTTTATCTGTGATTTACTGCAGTACAGCATCGCATACACACATATACATTTTACTATGTTTAAGAGGAATGGAATAGGCTATTTTTACGTGGATTTGCGGCATATCTGCAACTCAGTGCTCAAAATATGTCCAATATCTAACATTTTTCAGTTCATCCGGTATGGTTAAAATATTGAAGTTAAGACAAATAAACACTTACACCAACACTATATGTGTTATTCTCTGGCTAACTAATCCATAATAAGAAATGTAACCAAAAGATAAAGTTAAACAATAAAACTTTAACAGTTTATTCTCTCAACCTGGATTCTGATTGGTTGGTTTATGTCGACGTTGGTCATGTTGTTGTTTGCTGAATATATATACATATGCAGAACGTAACTCCACCAAAACCACAAATTTTGTCCATCTCAGTTAAAACAATTAAATATTGTTGCACTGATTTAGTCGTAAACCATTAACATACAAGAAAAAATTGAAAAAGAAATGCCGATTGTGAGTCAGTAAACAACCGAAAACAATGATTAAACTTTGAGATGTAAATTGTTGTATGCTGACTCAGTGGACTAGAAGCACTCGTCTTCGCACTTGAAGGTCCTAGGGTCAGTCCCTAGCAGGGTCGTGGATGCACACTGCTTAGGAGTCTCATGCTGCGATGAGAGAGCTTACCAGTACTTGCTGATCTTCAGTGATTGTCTAACTAACAGTGATCCGTGATACATACTATGAAATAGAAATCAGTTATACTCTAACTATGAAGATGAAAATATAGTTAGATGTAAAAGATAGGTTTAGACTGGAACTGTTTATAAAATTTTTATAATCAACAATAAACTTTCCTCTAGATTCAGAATGAGCTGCTTTGTTTTGTATATATACCACTAAGATGTCATTTTTTCCTGAAACAGTTTTTCAACAACCTTCACATTCCCTCCACACTATTAGTGTTAGGGTCACTTACAAGGGGATCGACGAAGTGTTACTCTTTGATGATATTCTAGTCTATCGAGACATTTTACGCTCTTGTCATCAATATACACACTAGTATCTAGTAGAAATAGACTAGTTTTTTTGTAAAAAAGAATACCAACCGCAGTAGGATGCCTTTGTATTTAAAAGAGATGAAATGAACCAGATACTTGCCAGCCAAATAGTCATAAGAAACTGATGATTGTTATTATCCGTATTTATATACACACAAACATCCCGAGTATTTAGGATAAGGTTAGATTTGTGATTACAAACATAAATTTTGAAAGAGAAAAATAAGCTCACAAAAGGCTTTCAAACCAATCCAGAACGATGATGATAATGATTGGTTAATTAGAAATTGTAATTCTTCTGGAGAATGGACAGAAGCCAGATGACCATTGTTTAATGATCGGTGGTTTACAAAGTAACTGGCCTTTTCTTGACAGACACGTTCTGCGTTTGGCCAACTCATTCTTTTGTGTATCGACGGTAACCAGTAACAATTCTCTCTGAATGATATCCAACCTTTTGGACATAATGGTAAGTCGACTGGTTGCTGTTTAATATTTGTCGGCAATTGATTTCTCCCTGTAATATGTATATGAAAAATGAAGAAACCCAATGACAGTGAACAACAGTTTGAATATTATAGTTTACGTAAAGGATTGATCTTTGTAAGGTAACCACTGAAAAGTGGGAAGTGAACAAATGTTTGGATCTACTACGAATCTCGAAAAAGTTCGCACGCACAGATTTACCAGGAATTAAACAAATGACGTTCAGAATTCGCGGTCAACATTTAAAACAGTGAGTTGGTATTAAATGGTTAACATTTTTAATTTCGATCAGTTCGGGATGTTGCGCATCCCCACTCTATTCATTGAAATTGTGGATGAGCACTGTTATGAAGTCCCATACTTGGACGAAACAGACTCCAAGTATTTCCCACTTTCCAATATATGTATAATCAATGGTAGTTTATTGTTTGAAACCTCAAAGTCGGATACAATATCAAGCCTGTCACGAGTGTTTGCAATCTAGATTCTTATTACACTTCCTACTAGCTCAACGAAAGAGAAAACTAACAGTATATATATGGCAGAGAAAGACATGATATATATATATATATATATATATAACAGAAAATGCAAAAATATGGTTAAGAAAAACTGAATGAAAAAGAAAGATTTCACAAACGTATAGAAAATAGTACAAAGTTGAACATTTAAGCGAAGACAACCTTATAAATAGTGAATGTAACACATTAAACTGATTTTGAGATATTGTTAAATTATAACAAGAACGATTATGTCTATTGAGGTTTACTGTCGGCCTACGATACACACGAATTGAAGAACAGTTGAGCCACTTTAATAAAAACGCTTTTATTACAGACTTGATAAGAACAGCTGGCACACAAAACTTATGGCGTTAACACAGGAAGAAGACAAAGTGTAGAAGGAACTTAATATTCAAGTAGGACAAATTAAAATCGAGAGCATGGCTAGCAAGCATACAGGAAATCAGGTAAAAGTTTTGATAATCACCCAGAGAAGAGGAAAAAACTGAATTAGGATAAAAGCATTTGTGGTAACAGTTACCAATAAGATTTTAACATTATTTCCAAAACTTAAGTAGCCACATGATCACCGTAGCATGATACGTTACTTAATGTTTTCAATCATAAATAATAATTATCCCATGGAATCAAATGAAGAGGTTTGTATCTATTGGCATGGTTCTTACCCGTAGACTTCGACTTCTTCATAAACTGGTTCCATGTCTTGTGTTTTGGATATCCCAAACTTTCTTCCAACCTATTCAAATTCCTGTACCAAGCACATTACATATCAAGCTACGTAGTGTTTGGGCTTTGCTAAAAGATATTCTAAGTACCACAACCGAATATGCAGGTTTATTTCCTTATCAATTAATTTGCTACTAATCTTACTCAGTCTACGTTGTTAAGATAACATTACTTATGATCAAATACTCGTAACCTAACAGTGACTTCATATTTCTTTAGTCATGTTATGAAGGCTAGTCGACACACATGCGAAAAGATTATAACAATAATAACACAAAATGTTACAATTGTAATTTTCGTTAACAATGACCTCATTTCTTATTGTTTAGCTTATTTAAGTTGTTAAACTAAGCACATAAATAGTGTAGACATGGTGAGTATACAAGATAAGAGAAAAATGCTTTGTAATAATAGTAAAACTAATAACAATGATAATAATAAAATGTGACAATGCGGTTGTCTTCACATAACTTGGTCTATATAATGCAGAGTGGATGTTAAGCTTTATCACACCAAAATTAAGTTTTTCTTCTGTTTACTTTTGGTAAAAAATATTTAAGGTCTATTATTTGTAAAAGAAATTTTGGAAAAAGTATAGCAAACGCATAAACCGATAAGAATCGAGAAAACATCTAATAGGTTATTGCGATACATTCAAAAATGAATGGATTTTATTACATAAAACAATCAGTAAAAAAACTTTGTATAGTTGTTTAAGATGGTAGTTGAAAGTTGATTTTTACGAGAATAGAACAAAAATGATGAACAGAAACGCGGCAAACGCTGATTGTTTTCACGTTAATCAGTCAAATCAATACTGTGTTTGGTAAAATGCAGGAATTCAGCATTCCTACACTTCCCCACATCGTGTTAACTACATCAATAATTTGTTTGATAGGTCAATATTAGTCCACCAATCGATTGTGAAAATGTCTCGCTGTAGCCATTATTCGATAAGCGTTTGTGTAAACAATGGAAACGAAACGGTTATTAAAGAATAAATTATAGGAAAGGGATGGTCACAAAAGAGAGAACGACTTTCTAATCATTTCATGAAGTGCTATGGTGAATGAAATCTATGAAGTATCCAATAAGTGAGCAGCTGAAATACACTTCAGTAGTGCTCACGAAGTTAAAAAGACAGCGAAGAACTGAGTAATTCCAACTAAAGGTGTTAAGTGTATAAAACATTCAAATATTTATGTTTGGATTGTGTATAACACTGAAGTAAACTCTGTTCTTAAACACTTAATCTTAGACTTGATGGTTAATCCCTAACCGTAACCAGGATCATGGAAGTTCCAAAAATCTATTTGTGTCCGTATAATGGTTTGAGAAACGAATAATCTACATGCATATAAATGGATACTCATGTCGTTATTATTTTCGATTTATAGATAAGACAGCCTTTAGAAATTTTTGATGCATTCACTAATTACGTAATATCTCATTACACTTTGTAATATTATTTATCTTTTTCCATAAACTATTCATTTACAAAAGCTATTTTTTAATTGGCTAACTACTGACTAAAACACGTCAAGGTTGTTTTAAGCTCGTCTGTCTTCTAAATTCTTACAGAACTATCAGTTCGCTTTGCATTTACATAAAAGAGATATATTGACAACAAGAACGGCACTTTTTGTTGATAACCAGTGGACTGTAGCAATGCTGGTATGCCGCTAAAGAACTACATGCAATTCTCACATGCAGGAGAGAATAATAACTGAAAACTGAGTTACCGATTTGAGTCAATATTGGATATTTGTGACTGGAACGCTTAAACACTAACATGTAATCAGAAGTGTATTGAAAATTCTGATCTTGGTGTTGGTTGACAGTTGCTTTGAGCTCCAGATGTCCTTCAGTTGTAAATATACTGATCTTGCCCTGCCAATCCGCGCCTTCACATCTGCATCAGACCCACCATGTTCATCAATGATGCTACACAAATATGTAAAGGTTTTTACATCTTCCAAGTCTTCTCCATCAATTGTGATTGGATTGGTGCATGCTCTTTTGTATCGGAGAATCTTGCTTTCTCCTTTGTGTACGTCTTCTCCTGCATTTGTTGCTGTGTGTGCGATAGAAGAGCCAGATCATCTGCGAAGTCTAGATCGTCCAACTGCATCATGGATGTCCACTCTATCCCGTGCTTCCCTTCAGATGTTGACGTCTTCATGATCCAGTTGATCACCAGGATAAAGAGAAAGTGTGGGAGTAAGCAACCTTGCCTGACGCCGGTCTTTACTTCGAACGAGTCTGTGACCTGTCCTCCTTGTATGATTTTGCAGTTTAGTCCATCATAGGAATTCTGTATGTTATTGACTATCTTCTGAGGCACGCCGTAGTATCGAAGAAGTTTCCATAGTGTTGTTCTGTCCACGCCATCAAATGCTTTTTCGTAGTCAATGAAGTTGATGTAGAGCGATGAATTCCATTCAATTGATTGTTCCATAATGATCCGTAGTGTTGCGATTCGGTCTGTACACGATCGGTATTTATGGAATCCAGTTTATTGGTCTCAAAGTTGAGAGTATACGGAGTCCTGTTGAAGACTTTTCCTGGTATTGAGAGAAGAGTGATGCCTCTCTAGTTCTCACACTTGCTGAGATCGCCTTTCTTTGATATCTTGATCAGGTGTCCTTTCCAGTCTGTTGGTACTTGTTCTTCATCCCAAATCTTGCTGAAGAGAATGTGGAGTATCCATGTAGTTACTGCTTGTGAAATTTAAAAAAAGGATGGTTAAAGTCATGCTATTTCGTTGTTTGACGAATAGAGCCTGAGTGTGTCCCTCAACAATAGGTACAAATCCAGCGATAATATAAATTAATTAACGAAGTAAGAGATAAGTGATACATGAAGGGATACAGTATATTCGACAGAATCGTGGTCGTTTACGAGAGAACATTTTGTTGTCTCGAAGAGAAAAGGAATTTTATTACACAAAGGATTAGCATATATGGTTGACTAACCAAATAATACTTCGATACAGAGAATATATAACTTTCTAGATTCAAATGGGTTTGCCGCGTCAAAGTGAGAATTAAAATTGTAAAGCCAAAAAAGCATATAAGTTTTTGGTATCAAGGCTGACAGTTGTTAATGGATAATTTATTCTGTAAATTCAATTCTTTTAGGTATGCATCAGTTAGATATAATCAACGTAGAGATTGGCATACATGTGTGTTGGTCCATGTTGTCATAACACATTAGTACAATGAAATGAGATTTACAAGATTAATGACAAGAGAGTCGAAATAATGTACTGGTATCAACAATACTGAAAATGACTAAGCATTGAGAATAATGCATCAGAAAGCCAGAATGAAAAATACACAAATGAAATATTGCAACTCAATATTTAGGAGTGAATGAAACTGAGTCACTAGATATGTAAATCATTGATTAGTCTTAATATGATAGAGAAGATTTGCAGTTTAGATGGACAAGCTAAATGATTTAATTACAGCGCATTCATTTTTATCCATCTTCAGAGACTAATTCACGTGGAAGTGAGTTTCCCAGTCAATATTATATGAGCATACTATGATGATTTTCTTTGTAATCGGATGTCTTGGGTAAGTTATCTTTACTTATTACTGGGTTCAGGCGGACTAAATTTGCTGACTGGGATCTCCTGTATGAGTGCATGGATTGGGTCAATATCAATATGCCTGGTGGCTGGTGACTGATCTTAACAACATGTCAATTCCCGGTATTCTAATAGTACTTCCAATACGAAATTTTGACGTATCTCCAATCGGATTCATGTTCACGGTTGACTGCATGCATGGGTATAAGAGACAGTGCATCGTGTCATCTTATTGCTAACATATGTTTATGTATGCATAAATAAAGGATATATCCAATGTGTTAAATGTAGTATTTCTCGCAACTGGTATAATTTATTTTGCAGATTATTTTGAATTCGCTTTCTCTCCCTGTTCTGTAATTCAGAATACATAGAATGGAATCATTTGAATATGTTGGCTCGTAAGCGACGATGTCTATAAAAAAGAATTTCAGATTTCTCGTTATAGTTTAGGAAATCTGTCACTCTTGGTCTCCAGTGTTGATACTTTGACAGTATATTGGATTGGTAGACACCACTTAAAGAAATTTTTAGAGTACCTATGCTTACGGAAAACGGATAGAAAATATTTTCTACAAGTTTCCGCGGGTTTCAACTCTTTTCAAGTGGATGTAAACTCAGCAATTAATCCATCAAACCTAAAGAACGCAACTCAGACAAAATGAATTCATTGACCAACAATTTTTCAAAGGAAAATTCATTGGAAATAAACGAGAACGTGGTCTAGAACAAAAACTAACAAAAATTATCTCAGTACTTTATAAACAAGATAAATGGCTGAATGATAAAAATGAATATGTTGTTTGAAACAGAAAAAATCAATGAATCATCTTAAAATAATAAAAAACCAGTTAAAACATAAAATAATTAAATACATCAAATCAATTTGCTTAACGTGAAACGTACAAATTAATCAATATACAAAACCAGTAAGAAGTACATTTTGAATATGTTTTGAGAGTTGTGATACATTTGTATATTTAAATAGTGAATCTAAACATTAAACTGTTTGTAACTGCCATATGTTTAACAAGAGTAACATATGTGTTAATGAGTAAAGGATTTATACATTATCGTTGTTGATACACAACGGCTGAGAAAATTAACAATACAGTTTAAGGTCGTTCCAATGACTACGGAATGAATGAAACTTGTGTATGAAATGTCACGTACTAGCCACTCACTACTCAAAAAAGATTCAATCAATCTGCAAATACATGGAAATGTTAATAGATAAGACACCTGATTAAAACATATGTATAACATAATTAAAGTCAGTTACTCAGCTTCCCATAGGCAAAAACACAGTAAATGTGGCCCACATATCGTGTATCCACTTTTAACTGAAATTTATACTGATATTCTGTCAGAAAAGACAAAACATGCATCGTGACTAAGTCATTCAGCTCAAAGAACGTAAAATCAACAAGGTTAGGTAAACAAATTTTTACATGCAGTCAGAAAATATTCTACTTTGATTTTAATACAAACAAATCAATTCACTGCTGAATAACACGAGATCTAATTTTTAGAACAAATAATAGTGAACAAGCCCAGCATATATATACGAACAATAGAATAATATTGAAATAGTAAACAGTAAAATCTGATGAAATAAAATAGATGGGGATTTTCAAAAAATACAAAGTGTTATAATTTCTCCTATTGTGACCCAGCTATTCCTATTGCTTACTAATCTTGGAAACCAATTCACTCAACAAGTCTCCATATCAGAACACGATTGAAACAGGAACGAAATTATGTTCCAATTAATGAGGGTAGATGGAATTAGGAGGCACCATAAGAAAAAAGTTAGTATACTTACAGTCTTTGCATGAGAAGAGTTTTTTCTAAATATCCACTAGCGCTGATTGGATAAGAAATAGCCAATCAGTGTGCGAAAACACAATCCTACACGGAAGGTGCTCTAATCCAGTCTGTATTCCGCTAACAAAGTGAGATAAAGATAGGCAGTGGTAAAATACTACGGGTCTTGAGACTGAGATCAATCACATCGAAGTGTCGATGAGACGGTAGTGCAGAGTTGGAATAGGACCTATTGTTTGGAAATGGGATGTATTGATCAATAACGCCATACTGTACTATCATATATGCACATAGTACTCTGACAATGCAGCAATGGTCTACTGGTCAAGGAACTTCACTTTTGATTAGCACTTTTCAGTGTCGAATGTGGTACTGTTTATTAAGTTGTGTCCAGAACACGAATGGATTATTAGCCTTTATTATATAATTAAAATCAATTCACTAAGTAGAGTACACGCACATAAACATCACATAAAATTACATAATCGAGATAAATTACCATAAACCTTACCAAGTTTGTATGAACAAATGCTTTCCAAATGCATTGAACAATTAGACATTTGTATTAAACTACCATCATGAATTGGCATAGTGAAACAATCAAAATATGACTGATTAGTGTCCTTATTTAGTGAAATCGCTTTACTGTCCTTATGTCGAAAAAGCCTAGAAAAATCTATTAAATTAGTTTCAGCTGTTTGTAAAGAATTATCTTCGGATAGTAGATGACTCTAGGGAAGAGAAAAAACGTAAAACAACAATACAGAAAGAGATGGCAGTGATCATGGATTTTCAATGGTTTTCATAAATTATCATATATATATATATATATATATATATATATATATATATATTACTTACCGAACCCCATGTATGGTTGATTTTCAAACCAACCCAAATACTTTTACTAGTAGGACTAATAGTTCTAGACAGAAAACGCATGAACGCCGCTTCAACCGGACTATGTGGAGTCGCTATAACTGGACAAAAGTTGGTACCCAATAATTGAGGACTTGTGAAACAATTCATATTAGTAGCGTGGGTCAACAAAGAACAATGACCGCTTATTTCATCACGGAAGTCAACAATACTACGTTGTGAATCTCGTGGTGGCATCACAGAATAACACGTATTATTGAACATATAGAAATCGGATGAACAATCACCATGTTTCAACATTCCCAAAAGTTGTATCCTGTTGGATTTATCCGATGTTCTAGCTACATATATGTAAATGAAGGAAGTGAAAGGAAGAAAAGGAAATATATGCATACGATTACACAAGTGAATATAAACATAAACTGTTTAAAAAACACAACAGACAGAGTCACAACGAGGTCCTTAAAACGAAAAAGGAATTCAGACATAAGTCAAATAGAATGTCACAAAACATCTTCATTCATATATTGGGGGTTAATCTATATTCACTAAAAAAATATAACTTTTCACATAGAATTTACTAGGTAATAACTATTTCTAATTTACATTAAAAAAATAAAAATAATATTTAGAGTATAGTGTTGTGTGAATACGATGAACTGAAAGTAACTGAAGTAGTGAGGATCATATTGAAATAGGCTATTGATTGATAAACAAAATAGAGGGGAGAGAAACAACGGGACAATTACAAAAAAATCTGTTAAATCTGATTCATTGAACGTTTGTAACACTAACGTCCTAATCGACATTTTTAGACTTGATATATCTATAACTAACTGAAAGCCGAATGAAAATACAAAACAAGAGTTTGACTCCTAAAGTTCATTAAAAACCTGTTTACATTGGCAGGGAGTTGGTCTTGGAGTTTTATAGACAAAAAGGCTGATATTAATAATAATTTGAGTACTGACTAATCAGAATGGAAAAAAACAAATACAGTAGCTCCGATATTTTACTGGAAATTGATAACAGCAACTAAGTTGCCGTATTTAGTTTTACTTAATGCAGATCTGGTCACACATTACAAACATGTACTTTATATAATTCAGAAGATAAGAAATTTAAATACTTTTAATTTCAATAGTATTTGATACAAATTAATGTGTAACTCACAAAATACGCGTGAATATACTTGATGTTAAGTTATATTTTTAAAGTATGACAGTTAGTGATACTACTGTAGTGAACGAGAACTCGAGTGGGGACAACTAATTGCATTTTAATGCAAATTACCGAGTTCTTTGGTAAAGTGTGGAAACCATACATTCAATACATCATTTGAAAATCCTCCATCAACTCTTTCAAAATTCATTGCTATAACAATTACTCTCTGTTCGCGTTCTCTTCGATTCAACCTTCTTAACCGTCTGTTGCCAGGAATTCCACTTCTGATTAGTGTTATATAGTACTTATGACGACATAAAAAGCACACACCATACTACTACACAGTTACATAAACCGAAGAAAATGTAGCAGAGCTCTTTTCCAGTGAATCTGTCAGCTAATTGATTGAAGGTCGATTTTTAAAATTATCAGGTCACTACATAGATAAAAATTGAAAAATATAAAAAGGTAACAAATATGATCATCATTAGTCACGTGACTGAACATCCGTTATGTTTTGAGTTGGTTGGTTGGTTTCATAACCAGTGAAAATTCAACAACAAAATATAACTTCATATGATCGTGGGACAAATACGCCCATAGCAGGAAAGCGTCGATTAGAAGGGATAAGTGGAACTCACGTCAAAGGCCATACACAATATGGTTTAGTACTTATTAACAAGATCGCCTAATTTTTATGAAAGTACAAACTACACAGGCAATACGATTTTCAAGAGTGGGTAAAAAGGGAATAATCAAATCGGAGAATTTTCAATATTACCTCATCCGAAATAACCATATTTGTTTATTTCTACCTTTTAACAAGAGAATAAAAATTTACCAACAGAAACATTTGACAATATTAATAGTAATTCAATATTTCAACCGCTGTTAAATGTTAATTTATTTTGCAGTTATTGGTTAAAAATTCAGAATTGTTACATTTTTTTTTGAATATATAATAGTGAGGACTGGGATACTTTCCAATTTCAGTGAGTTGAAGAGGATGCGGCATAATCGGAAAATACGACTCAGTGTTTCTAAGATTCTACTGTGTTCGTTTTAGTTTAGTTAGATAACTATCACCTGCATATTAACGCAGTCAAACACCATATCCAAAGGAATTTTTAAATCATGAAGCAGCACGAAAAACTGCTAGATAAAAGTTCGAATAGTATGTGTCGTAAACCAATTTGCATTTATTGACATATATGGATCAATTGCTGAAAATAAGTTGCGAATATCATATAAAAATGGTATTCAATCGAAAGCGTAAAGGCATATTGTCTTAACTTCATTATTGTAAAATCTTATATTACTTATGAAGAGTGTCAATCAGATTCTCAGCTTCAGTGCTCAAAGTAGGTGTGTAGGATAACATGGCTGAGAAAATGAGGGGAAAAAATTAATTATTTCGAGAAAGCACAGTATTTTTTTTGAAAGTAGACTCTTCATTGAATATTTAAAGAACTGTGTTTTCGACTAGTTGTAAAAATAAAGGGACAAACAGCAAATTGGCTGAATTTCAGAGCTTTGAAAATTGTTATCCTGTCCCCTGTTAGACGTTCGCAAGAATTATTAAGTGCCTTATTGATGGTTGTCTTTGGGTGGTTGCCCTTTATCATTCGCCTTTTTGCTCGCGATCTTGGAAGTACGGACCTACAAAATGAATGACATTCACCTGTGTACTTGATGTAATTGCACATTCGACATTAATCATCAATACGTGTAAGCGATTGGCAATTAAACGGTATCTAACACCTTGAAGTTACAGCATTTTGTTACACTACCAGGTATCTATTATATTTATCAGTATGGGGTTGTGGAGATTGTTCAATTTTATTGACATCACAAATTGATCTTAGCCAGACAAACTTTAGAACCTGGAAGCACTGAATGACTGTTTTGGCTGGGTATAGGTTCCCTCGGCAATGAGCATCTACGACTCCGCAGACTCGACCGAAGCTGCTACCTTGACGTGGTGGTCGAGATTGCCCATCGTGATGACCCAACCGAGCTATATTGGCTGGAACATATGTTCCTGTAGGTTCTACCATGCCAGGCAGGTCGATTGGAGAACGGTAAGACTAAAAGCAGCAACTCAAGGTCTGAGGGCGAAGTCGTACTGCTGACTGTAGAGGGGTGTGACAGCAGTAAGGTGTTTCCCTCGGACAACCAGCATGACAGCGATGCTGCCTTCCCACAAGGAGGGGTGGGGTTAGAAAAGGTCGACCCTAAAAATGTCACACCTCACCTTACCTCACGGATTTCCGTCTCCGGCGGTAAGGCCCTTTGAAGAACGGAGCTAACACGTCAAAAACCTTCCACAAAAAGGCCGTGCGCGACCGGCCTCAAGCAGTTGTCCCTTGGGCTCTGCGGTCACGCTCCCAGGTCGTCAAGACCAACACTAATCCAATTTCCTTTTCAGGTTCCTCAAGAAATACCCTTCCACGGTGTGGGCAGCCGGGAAGTGACATCAGCCCTCATACCCGTAACAGCACACGAGACCAAGTTGGTCACATTCAAATCCTTCCTACACCTCCTAATACCTCTCTTATCTCCATGACTAACCCTCCTCACGTCTCTTTATCACCTCGCACCGCTAGGGCAAACGATTCGAGTACGTGGAACGCCATTCCTGGTCTCCTGAAACCACGCTCTAAACTACACGTAGGAGCTTTTAACGTACGAACACTTTGCCAAATAGGACAGCAGGCTTCCTTAGCTAAAACTTTAGAATCTCGCGCCATCGATGTGTGCTGCGTCTCCGAAACGCGCATACAGGATCCGAGTAGCGTCATTCATTTGACCTCACCATGCCAAAATAAAGAACCGACTCGATTTACGCTTCGTGTATCTGGAAGCCCTGATTCTGCTTCCCGTGGCCTCGCCGGCGTAGGTATAGCATTGAGTCCTAGGGCAGAACTAGCTCTCTTAGAGTGGATCCCAGTAGACAGTCGTTTGTGCGCTGTCCGACTGAACGGAACAGTAAGAATCCGGAAAGATAGGGACACTCGTCGTTGCCTCTTCGTCGTCTCTGCCTATTCTCCCACTGACTGCAGCTCAGATGATGTAAAAGATGAGTTTTACAGAAAGCTTTCGGACCTTCTCCGAAAAGCTAGGCGCTCGGATGTAGTAATAGTGGCCGGTGACTTTAATGCTCAAGTAGGTAAACTAAGCGATAGGGAAAGACACCTAGGTGGATCTTATGGTTCGTGGCTCAAAGAACAGATAATGGCGACCGTCTGTTGCAGCTATGCTCAGATAACCGCCTGTTCCTTGCAAATACTAACTTTAAGCATAAGGAAAAACATCTTTTAACATGGCGACCCCCTAATTCGTCCCAACGTTGGACCCAAATAGATCACATCGCTATCAGCCACCGATGGAGGGGCTCGATAGAAGACTGTCGCTCATTCTGGAGCACATGCCTAGATTCAGATCATGCTCTAGTGCGAGCGCGTATTTGCTTGCGTCTTACTGGACGTAGGAAAGACGCTGCAAGGAAACCTCTTAGGGCCTACTTAATGATAGTCAAGCTAAGAGTATATTTCAGGAACAACTAGGAAAACAGTTAGGCAGCCATGTATGTGATGCCCACCCCGATGCAGCATGGAATGATATCCGAAAAGCTGTGGAAACAGCAGTGATATCTGCTAGTAAGGTAAACCAGAAGGTTAGGGAGCAACACTGGATCTCAGCAGCATCTATCGCACTGATAGATGCTCGGAAACTCATTCCACCTGGCTCTGAACATAATGAAGAGCGGAGTCAGCTTAAGCGCAAGCTGACAAGAAGTCTACGCAATGATCGCGAACAGTGGTGGGTAGCGAAAGCAAGAGAGATGGAAAAGGCAGCGGCAATAGGTAATAGCAGACAATTGTTCAGACTCGTTAAGGAAACCGGAATTAGGAACCCGACCGTTAGCGAAACAATCTCAGAGAAAGATGGACATATTATTCATTCTCAATCCAGGAGATTGGATCGATGGGCAGAACACTTTAGGGATCAGTTCAACTGGCCTTCAGCCACACTTCGGTTTCCCACGATCTCCAGTCAACCTGAATGGCAAGTTAATGTAGGTCCTCCGTCTCTTTACGAAGTTGAAAAAGCCATAGGAAATCTGAAACGAGGGAGAGCAGCAGGCCCTGACAGGTTTACTCCTGAGATTTTTAAGGATGGTGGTCCAGTATTAGCAATGAGATTAACTGAGGTCTTAGGTAGAATTTGGGAACTGGACGTAATCCCATCTGACTGGTCTCAATCACTGATTGTGCCAGTCTATAAGAAAGGACAAAAGTCCTCTTGTGACAATCACAGAGGAATCAGTTTGACTAATATAGTGTCTAAAATATTAGCTTCAATAATACTTCGACGCCTAACTAAAGCTCGTGAAGAGCAGACTAGAGAAAACCAGGCTGGTTTTCGACCTGGACGTGGTTGTATAGATCAGATATTCACACTACGTCAGGTTCTAGAACACAGACACACATTCAGACGCCCCACAATGGTAGTATTTCTCGACCTTAAGGCGGCATTCGACTCTGTTGATCGTGAGGTTCTATGGCAGTGTTTGTCACTGAAAGGAGTACCAAAGAAGTACATTAACCTTATAAAGGCTCTCTACTCGAACACAACTGGTAGAGTGAGAGCTTATGGCGAACTGTCATCAGAATTGATTACCTCAAGTGGTGTTCGTCAGGGCTGTCCACTCTCCCCATTCTTGTTCAACTTTGTCGTCGACGTACTTTTAGAGATAACACTCTCCTCATCTAAATTTACAGGGGTTGAACTTCTACCGGGAGGTTCACTTGTTGACTTAGAATATGCTGATGACATAGTTTTATTTGGTGAAGACGCTGACAAAATGCAGAGTCTTCTGACCACTCTAAGCAACAATGCAAGCATGTTCGGGATGCGATTCTCCCCCTCGAAATGCAAAATGTTGCTTCAGGATTGGGTTACATCGACACCCGAACTAGTGATAGGGAGTGAAGTAGTTGAGTGTGTCGACCGCTTCACTTATCTTGGAAGTCTCATCAGCCCTTGTGGTCTGGTGTGTGACGAAATCTCAGCACGGATACAGAAGGCTCGACTAGCTTTTGCCAACTTGCGTCATTTATGGCGTAGGCGAGATATCCGTCTATCAACCAAAGGACGTGTTTACTGCGCAGCAGTTCGTTCCGTCCTACTTTATGGCAGTGAAACATGGCCGGTAAGAGTAGAGGATATTCGTAGGTTACTAGTATTTGATCATAGGTGTCTTCGAAACATTGCTCGTATATCATGGGACCATCGAGTAAGTAAGCAGTTGTTAGGAAACGGGTACTAGGTAAGGATGGCAAATCAATTGATGAAGTAGTGAAACTTCATCAGTTGAGATGGCTGGGACACGTGTTACGTATGCCCAACGACCGACTGCCTCGACGTGCTATGTTCAGTGGTATAGGAGTAGGTTGGAAGAAAGCTAGGGGCGGCCAACCAAAACATGGCACAAGTCCATGAAGTCACTGACAAGTGGACTGAGTCATGTTGGTAGGTGTAGACTACCTGGTTGGGGACCGCGAGATGATAGCAACCGATGGTTAGAGACCCTGAATGACATGGCTCAAAATCGTTTGCAATGGCGCAGGTGCATCCACACTTTGTGTTCCCCCAAATTTTGATCTCCTTATTCCTCCTTGTCTCTTTTTTCTCTTCCTAAATTTATTTCACATCTCCAAACACTAATTTTCCCGATTACTGCTTATACTTTTACTACCTGTACCACTACGGGATTCGAGTCGACCACTGCATCTCTGTGCTAATGTGGTGTGGCAACTCGGACTGATGTTCGTACGTACGAAGTTCTACGTTGTTACTAACTGACTGACTCCGCAGAAGGAGACAGAACCCAAGGGCTTCGGCATATCCAGATTGTTAAGTCAAGATCCAATGTAGTTCAACCACGTGGAGAGTGAGGTAGCTACCCACTGAAAACACTGAAAGATGGTCACACAATGTCGTGGATTGATTGAATTTAGATAGTAACATTGTTGGATGCCGGCTCAGTGGTATAGAGGTTAAGCGTTCGCTCGTCACACCGAAGATCATGGGTTGGATTCGCACATACTGAGTCATGCATGAGCACTGTTGAGTCGACACATATTAAAACGAAACAGCCGTCCAGTGCTTCCAGATTTTCAATGGTTGTCTAACATTGATCGGATAATAGGAAGTAATAAACATAATGTAAATTTCACAAAAAAAACTTACTTGGTTTAACCTCACAAATATAACCGAATTTCTTGTTGCACAGTTCATTACTCCATGTACCAATGAAATCTAGCTCGTGATGCATTATAGCACAACTCTAAGTACATCATTAAAATGTATTTTAAAAACAAAAGAATATGAGAAAGAGACAATAATGAGAAATAATTAAATGAATCACTTCACAGCACTAACAAATAAGTTAGTGATGATTATAGGTACCGCTGAAACTGCCTTTGAGTCAAAATTATACTGGCGAACAAACTGATGTAGAGTATGTAAAGATATAAATTCCAAACTCAATGGGTGAAAGTGCAGTATTTTGGCTGAGAAACTAAGATTCCATGAATGGATACATATTTTCCACAAATAATACATCGCTTATGTTAAACTCTTGTTCATCATTATGCAATGAATTCACAGATTCTACTATTGAGTAAACAGGAACGTCTCTATTAAAATTGCTCGATTCATTCGTGACTTGAAAGGGTTTTGTGGAAATTTTTTGTCAGTCAATCATGCATAACGTACATTTAATAGATATATTCACTGTTCCACGTCACTATACCAAATCAGTACAGCTATATAGTTTTACTTTAAGATTATTCTCAGATTAGTAGAAGTGGTAACAGTATCAGTAATTGTACATAAGACAAAGTATAGGAAAAGAAAAAAGATTTACGGAGATTTTGGGATTAGGGTTCTGAAATAAACCAATTAGTGAATCCATCCGGGACAGTGCTAACTATTCTGAGCAATGTGACCGAAATTCTACAACCATTGTTTACGATAGTCACGCAAACTCTAATCAGCAAGTCGACATATATTAAGACAACATAGTTCAATCGTGAATGACGTCATGAAGTGGTATCACTTGGTTTTATCGCTACTAGATTACACCCAACCTAATCTCACATCAGAAGGGTATATGGGTAATTATTTATTCAAGCACATAAATATTCATACAAGTAGGCTGCACATGTATATACGTAAAACTTCATTATTCGATTTGTATGAGGGCTGGAACACCACCCGGGCGCTCAAACCGAAGCAGGTTCGATCGCCAGCAATGACACCCGACATAGAATACATTTTGATGTTTTGCTGGACACCTTTGAAATTAAAACCCATCAAACAAACTGGCTAGTCTTTGTGGGAACAAAGGGTGATACCACTTCTTTATTGCTTAGGTGGACAATTCGGAAGCACAGACCAGTCACGCGATTGCAGATGGATCCTACGAATCTGCTCGAAGGGGAGGTGTTAGCGGGATAAAGATTAGAGCATGTCTCGTTCGGGATTGTGTTGGGGCGCGCTCACTGGCTATTTGTTAACCAATCAGAGCTAGTGGATAGTTACAGAAGACAACCGCTTTTCTTATTATGATACCTACTTCCAGTATTGATTGTTATTCCATTTTATTTGTGTGTGGGCTGTGATACTGCACGGGTGCCCAGATCGAAGCAGGTGGTTTTCTTGGGAGCCACATCGGGAGCATGTGACCTAGAGGTCTAATCCACAAGGCAGTGGAGCAACGTAAGGAAATGCAGTCCCATGGTAGCCGATGACCAACGATTGGTTCATACGCCATTTGTTCCTTCAGGATACTGGGACCCATGTGCACCATTGGTTTGGAATCAGGGTTTTCTAATCCCCCAGGAGGGTCCTCCGTGTCCACCAACCCGGTTAAAACGCTAGACATTCGCCTTTCGTCCTCTCAATTTCGTAGACAACACCCCTGCCGCGAGAAGGCAGTGAATAGGAATTCTGTGACAGTGGCTGTATATGCGTGGCTATCTGAGAGCATTTTGAGATGGATAGCTGACTCTCTACACTGTTGATCGTATCAGGACTTTGGGCTACAATGCTGAACATTCCCATACTTAGACAAAACGGCCGTATAGTTTTCTCAGATTTTCAGTGGAAATCTAAGACCAGTTCGTGATTTAAATAAACTATAAAAATAATAACTTTAGCCAATCTCAAAATAAATAGTTGACAGTCTTACAGATCCATTAGCATTTGGTTCGGTGGGGCGCCAGTTTGTATAGACAACATCATGTTGATTAATCCATGTATGAATATTTCGTTCAGAACGTAAACCAATCCACGCAGACAATTGTTGATTATCCATAAGAACAGTTAAACCATCTAAAATAAGATAAGACAATAAACAATGATGACAACAAAGTATCAGTTAGTTAATATTCTATATAGTGTTAAGCAGCGGTAATAACAATCATTTTTTAGGTAAATAGTTACACTAGCCCAGCCAAAGCGCAGTAGCGGTTGTTATAGAAGTAAGTTGGTAAAAAGTAATGGCTGACCGAGCCAAGACGTGGCATTGGTTTGTAAAATTGAATTATATGAAAAATATACGCAATTTTTGGTCGGAGTTTTGCTTAATAAGTCTAACCAATGGTCGGATATTTTGGGCGAAAAAGGTTCTTATGTTCGGTTATTTCATTTGTTCATCTTGAACTCTATTTTACCCTGCTTCGGTTTGGGCATCCGAGAAGTATCACAGCCCTCACACATATCAAATGAGATTTGTGTGGCACATATGTATTTGGTGCCTCCTTGTACCAATATCTATGTGTTGAAATAATAATAATAATAATAATAATAATAATAATAATAATAATAATAATAATAATAGAGATTTACTATCATAGACATTATTTTTACATCAACTAATTTAGCTAACATCAATTAAATCTACTCTCGCTGTATTAGTACTACAACTGATCCAAAGTGTGACAACTTGGATTGATGCATATTAAACTAGGACCAACATTGTTTATGGTGAAATAAATATACGGCGGAAACGGATTTATGAATGATAAAAGCCCCCACTGATATATACTGCTAAAGGTAAGAGTGATTTGATAAGAAAAACAATATCATGCAATAATGAGATACATCTGTTCGGTTGAAAAAATTAAGTACATTAACATGACGGTTACCTAACTCGTTGAAGAAGGAGTTCAATGAGAATTTATAAAGTACGGGATGATGCTGAAACCCAAGACAAATGTAAATAAAGAATGGATGCATCTAAGTCGAGACAACCAATTTTATGTCATCTCATATAAGATCGCAAACCACTGGTCAAGATTATCTCACACATCGCAATCAAATAGTCTATACACACATTACAACACGGCTCAAGCTAACAATCAATAACTTCATAAGAAGCTGACGTTATTTGGTTGAAAATGACCACTTTTCTTCCTGTAAGTACAGCTTACTATTTGGTAGGAAAAAAGCTACGAACTATCATCATCAAGTTACCTTTTACTACGTTGACTAATAAAGATGGTGTTAAGTGAGGTTTGATGGGTAAACGAAGTTGCTTGGCAAAAGCACAGTTGAAAAATATCATCTGAGTAATACGGTTTCAATTTAAAAAGAAACTTCAAATAATCTAAGTTAGCAAGAAAACACTTTCAATACTTAGTGTATATCATAAACACACATATTCGAAATTCAATGAAATTTCATATGAATTAATAGTTATCAAGTAATATATGCATACACATTGTGGTTATTTACCATCAAAACAGAAGGTTAACGAATGAAATACAATAGATGTATGTGATCATTAGCTTACCTTGCTGTTCATTCGATAATATAGTGGCTAGGTGAGCATCAGCATCCGAAATTCGACATAAGTTAGAGGCGGTTAACCAGTCCACTCCATCATTTTTATTCGCTTTTATCTATTAAAAGTCAGTAAATTTAGTTTAAACATCAGAATTACCACACAATATTTAGTAGGAAGCTTAAGATAAACACCATTAAAACAGTGTTTAGTGATAAAAACACTATGACAAAAAGAACGTGTTTCTAAATTCAAAAAGCAATCAAACGAGCAAAAAGACAAAAATGAGTGATTTAATGCTCAGAAAACATGAAATGAAGCAGTGGCCGATTTTCAACTACTAAGTCCCAGGTTCTACCCCCGCTCCATGTACATTGGTTTGGGCAGATGAATAATATGATTTGTACTTACACTAAGAGTATAGCTCATAACCAAGTGAATGAGTAAACTATTATAAGACATGAAGACGATGACTTTTTGACAGATCAATTTTGACAGCAAGAAAACATTTTGATTGAGATCTCTAGAAAATAATCTCCAGACGTCGGCTACAGTAGATCATCTTACACAATATCTTCTTGGTGCACTTGTTAACTTTCCTTTATGTTTTGCTGATGTCTTGAAGTGTGTGTGGATTTCAAACGATACAAATTTGTACCATTCCCTATGGTTTATGACTGACTAAATGGATGAGTTGTAGCTAGCAAAAACATCAAAACAAAACCGGCGATAGTTCCCGTTATTGAGATCATTAAACATCCGACTTCACAGTAAATATAATTTGAAATGTTACACAAATTTAAACAGAAAATTAGGTTGAAAAACGCCCGTTAAAATTAGTCAATCGAGGTGACATAAACTGATGAATAGCTGAATTTTTTATTTATTTGAACACATAAATAGTACAAGAGGGTACCAAATATATATGCGCCACACAAAACAATGAGAATTCGAAGAGAATAAAAGAACAATAACGAATAGATTAGTGTAAGGTAGTATAATAATAATATTAATAGTAATAATGGGGAAACGGAAAGATACAGTCAGAAAAAATCTTTTAGTCAGAGAAGAAATAACCATTTTTTATGAAGAAAATAAAAGAAGGTTACGGCAGGATCGCCACTGGCTTCTATTCTGAGCCATATCTGATAACGTCTATAGCCAGTGTGTTGCACCATCTCTCGGACCCCAGCCAGGGAGTCGTGAAGGACCAACACAAGCCAGCCCTTTTCAGCTTTTTTTCATACCACGACACCATGTCAGACACTGACCACCTCTCCGCTTTTTACAACCAGTCCCAGCGTCGGAATTCCCTGGGACGACATTCGTAGAACATGTCCAAGCCACCGAAGTCGGTGTTTCAAGATGGTGACACCAATCGGATTATCGTCACTCGGCCCAAACACATGATGCCGAACCTCTGCATTACTAACATGGTGTTGCCATGAGATGTCAGCAATCCTTCGGAGACAACAATGACCGAACACAGAGAGTCGTCTAACATCCTCAACTCGGAGAGGCCAAGCTTCACAAGCATAGAGCAAAACTGCTTTCACCGACGCGTTGTAGATCCGACCTTTTACAGCCAGACTGACATCACGAAGGCGCCAAAGATAACCAAGATTGGCATAAGCAGCTCTGGCTTTCACTATACGTGCATTGATCTCATCTCTCACGCCACCACCAGCACTTATGCAGCTACCTAGATACACGAACTTCTCGACTACTTCTATCTGCCCACCATCCAGGGTGAGTACAGGATTAGAATCCTGCCAGTCTTGTAAAAGTACTTCGCACTTCGAATGTGCAAAGCACATACCATAACTACGGACGCTGATTGAATGCGGATTGCATGACTTGGGCATTATCACTCAATAAGACAATATCATCCGCATACTCAAGGTCGAGAAGCCTTTCTCCAGGCAACAGATCCACACTGTCATTACATACATCCATCAGAACTGTTTCCAGAATGTCATCGATGGCAAAGTTGAAGAGGAATGGTGAGATTGGGCAACCTTGTCTAACCCCACTGCTTGAATGGAACAATGGAGAAAGGTAGTTGTATGCCCTCACTCTACCTGAGGTGTTTGTATATAGGGCCTTTAGGATGTTAATAAACTTCTCAGGCACACCCTTCTTCAATAGACAATCACAGAGAACAGTCCTGTCTAGCGAATCGAAGGCAGCCCTGATGTCAAGAAAAACTATGATTGTTGGCCAGTGATAAGTATGGCGATGTTCTAACATTTGGTGGAGGGTGAAGAAATGATCAATACATCCTCAACCAGAACGAAAACCAACCTGCTCCTCGTGAGTCAATCTTTCTCGGGTTTTGGACAACCTACGAAGTATGACGGAAGCCAATAGCTTGGACGCAATCGGAAGTAGACTTATCCCCCGATAGTTGTTACAGAGACGACGTGAACCTTTTTTAAAGATAGGGACAGCTATCGACTCATTCCATGACATTGGTACACTCTCTAGTTCCCAGACCTTTGGAAAAAACAACGCAGTCGGCTTCTTAATCAGAAGGTCGCCACCATCTTTAAAAAGAGCCGAAGGTAGGTCATCTGCGCCCGGTGATTTGTAGCGCTTCAGAAGTCGGAGTTTCCTGCGGACTTCCGCCTCATTTGGTGGATCAGTCGTCACCGGCCATGGAGGGCAGGGCAGTCCGACCGATGTCGCCGGAGCAGCAGGCCAGTTGAACTGCCCTTCGAAGAATTCTGCCTATCGTCCAAGACGTCTATGGAAATGAATGAATAACTGATAAAAATAGGCAGACAAAATTTAAAGTACACAAAGAAAATACGATGAGTATTTATAACACGAAAGTTTGAGCAGCACTACCTATATGTAAATTATTACAGTCTTTGAGTTGTTAATGTGTGTAGTTAGCTCTTGACAGGTAGCAGGTTGTACAATTTGATGAAAATCGTACGAGCTTTTTCTTCTGTGCAGAGATTTTTTCAATAATCAATCCACAAAGACTAATGAGACTTCCAAGATAGGTAGGCCCATTTCTTAACAAAATAGTATTCAAATCCTTGTTGTTGTTTGATTTCCAGATAAATTGCAGTACTTCAGATGTTTTTATTCTGTACAATTATCAGAAAGTTATAAGGTAAGCAAAATGCCAAATAACAGATGAGATCACGTCAATACAGCTATGTGTACGTAAGTAACATAAACTTACCATAAAACAGCTTCCAGATACCAACATAAAACCTTCAGGACATTCAAAAACAGCATATTGTCATAGGCTTTTTGGATAGACGATAAGTTAACTCTGGATGATATGTCAGTTGAACATATATACGGTAATGGTTTATAGCATGAAATACTCCCCCATGTATGTAAACCATCAATTTCTGAACAAAGAAATGAAGAGATGAATAATGATAAAGGCAGAAAATCATTTGAGATTGTTGAATAAAAACAGAACATTGATTAAATTACACGACGTTACCAGATGAGTATTTAAAGCAATTATATTATATTAAATGTTAAGATTTGTTTTTCCTATAGCCTTACTCGAGAAAGAGGAAAAAATTGACTGCATTTGTATGAATTGGGTTGGATATTGTTTTTAAGGTGCTTCGGTGAAACATCTTAATTGGAAACGCACATACACAGTAAGGTTTAAGCCGATTGTTCCATACTTCCATGGGAGGTTTGTGGATATTGTAAATTTTCAATTTATTTATTTATTTGAACACAAAGATATTGGTACAAGAAGGCAACAAATACATATGCGCCACACGAATCTCATTCGATATGTGTGAGTGCTGTGATACTGCACGGGTGCCCAAACCGAAGCAGGTGGTTTTCTTAGGGGGCCACACCCGGAGTCTTCAACCTGAAGCTCTGATCCACAAGGCAGTGGAGCATCGTAAGGAGATGCATTCCCATGGTAGCCGGTGACCAACGATTGGTTCATACGGAATTTGTTTCTTCAGGATACTGGAGCCCATGTGCATCATTGGCTCGGAATCCGGTTAAAGCGCCGAACATTCAGTTTTCGTCCTCTCACTTTCGTAAACAACAGTAATGCCACGAGAAGGCAATGAGAAGGACTTCCCTGACAGAGGCTATATACGCGTGGCCATGTGAGAGCATTTCAAGAGGGAGAGCAGACTCTCTCCACTCTCGGCCCTACCAGGGCATTCGGGGCGTTAAATTTTTAAAGACTCCATCAAGTATTGATTTCAGTTAGACAACTATTGCGACTTTAGAGGAACTGACATTTGTTTCACCCTATAATGAGACACCTCAGCAGTCCGCACTCACACCCCCGTCGGGAACAGAACCCAATACCTTAGGTCTCGAGCACGATTGATCAACTTCTGGATCACTGAGTCTACAATACGTTTTACTTAGTATGAACGTTCAAGTTATCAACAGTTTGTGTAACTTAATAAGCAATGCAAATCAAATTAGCCATCGAATGAAAATCTAAACATTTCTTCCTTTTAGTAATTTAATTGAAGCACACATAAATACATACTCCTGTTATTGTCACTATAGTTGCAAATAACCACAAGCATACGTCTAGAGAACACTACTTAATCCAGAAAATATGTGTGTATGTGAGCGATACTAACCCGAAGAAGGTAAGTCAGCACATCAAGCTGCATTTTAATGTGAAGTAGATAGTAAAAGTTTTTCTAGCCGATAATTCACAAGCCAATAGTTTCTTATTTTCAAGGGAAGAGAACATATTCTAAACCGAAACAGAAATAAAATAGAAGAAAAACACTTACTAGTATCGATATAAACACATTTCTTTTTAGTATTTTGAAATCTCAATTGCCAAAACGTCAATGGTATTGCACCATAAGAGGATGTCCACAATAGATTATCATGTGAATTGAAAAGTCCAATGTAAGCCTGAGACAAATTACTATGACTAGTTTCCTATATTTATTTACATAATTAGTAAAATAAGAAACGACTTTATCTTTTTTCAAAAAAAAAAACAATTAAAATATATTTTGGAAAATGGCATCGAATTTTTGAGTCATAAAGCATTAATAATTAAAAAAGTGTTTTCGGCTTAAAATCCCATGCTAATATGACATATCCGTATTACCTCAACACCATTTATTAAAATCGGCTTCAGCTGAGATAGTGATTTTGAACGGTTTGAAAGTAATACCTATTATCAGCTGAAAACAATGATCTAGCTCACCAAGCAACAGTTTTCGGTTTTGTGTGTGAGAGCAAGTGGTACTTTCTGGCTACATGTGAGTTTGAATAACTTCTCAAGATAACCAGAATTTCAGGTAGACGTTTGTGCTGATGATGTCGTTCAGAAGAACGATGAGAGCTTTACAACCAATTCATCCACCTCAGAGAACAATACTCCATCACAACCAGAACTTTAGGGAGAACTAAAGTATACGAACAATATATTTAACCATTAAGCAGTTAGTGATTAAATAAAGTTTTAGAATGCGAAAACATATATTGTCACGTATAATTTGTTTGTAAGTTGTTTTTTTCCATTTTCAGTTTTTAGCTTGACGTAATGGAGGAATAATTTAATGGTTAAGGCATTCGACTTTTGGGAACTAGGTCCCAGATTTTAACTTCGCTTTATACAATTGGGTTTGAATAACCAAGTAGTATCATTATCTTTCACTTTTTAAGTTGACTCATTCACTAGATGCTTTTGATATTAGGCACACGCTTTAAGTGTGAAAGCTAATGATACTATCTAATTTCACAAACAGAAGTAGATGGATCTGGGTTCGAACGTGGGAATTAGTGGCTGAAACTTGAACGCTTTAAGACACCACTCCATTTACAGTGTGGTTCATATCTAGGTGCCCGGCGAATGAATTTACAAAAAAGAATCCGCAGTGGCAAATAGATTGAAGTTAGTTAATCTATCAATTTTTCATGAAACCTCCCAGAATAAGCATCGACAAACTTGTTTGCCAGTTTTTGATAAGTCGAATAAAGTTTTTCAATAATAATTCCTATTGATGAATGATACTGGATATCGAAACAATGGAAACCTGATTATCGAAAATGCTAAAAACTGAATTCCAAATGGATGATCAAATGATGTCAACAGATCAGACAATTCGATTCAACATACGACCAAGATTGTTCACTATTGAGTTCTATAAAATGTGAAGAAACAGCTATTCAAGTTTTGAATCATGCTCCACCTGAAACCTGCTGCTCGTGATGAGAACGACCTGTCATGATCAAATATCCAAGAATCACAATGAAAGCTCAAAGGTAGCGTCGCACACTGTAAAACTGGATGAGGTGAAGGGTTAGGACCGCACAGGAAGTATCTGCTCCTTCATGACTGAAGGTACACTTCGCCGATGCGTGTTAAGTAACACGATACCTACATTTCCGGTCTCTTACTGACTTAACATTAAAAGAATACAAAATAAAGGCAACTAGAATACACCTACATGTTTCAGAGTATTCATAATAAACATGTGATGCTCTTCACTAGGTACAGTAGCTAGTGTCATGTTATAATTACGACAAACATAATCAGCTTCGTAAAAAGTAGCCATTTGTGAAATATAACGTATACAATAGGGTTTACGTGATATGTTTGTGCATATTTCGTTATTAACGACTTCTAAACAATAAAAAAAATAACAAACAATGACAATAATGAAAATAATTACACGTAAACTAATATTTGATTTACAAAAATTAAAATGATTTCTAATTTATTTTGAGATGAACAACACTTGACAAGCATAAGTTTTCGATTATTATTGTGTAGGGAGTGATGGAGATTGTTGAATATCATAGTTTATATTGCGAAGTATGATTTTAGCTAGGCAACATTTAGAAACTAGGAAGCAGTGGACAGCTGTTTCGTTCCGACAAGGGATCCCTTAACAGTTGACGTCCATGATTCTGCCATAGGGGATCGGACTTAGGATTTGCAGAGTTTGTGAGGAGTGCTTAACCTTTAGACTATTAAATTGGTGTTCAATGGGTTATATTTCTAGTTTCAATAAATTCGTGATAATGTTCAACCACTTGTCTATGTAATTAGTAGTGATGTTTCAAACCCTACATGTTTGAACTTCAGCTGTCAATGCTTCACTCTAGAACACTAAGAATGAATTCCCTCAATCGATATTAATTTGTGGTAGTGAAAATTTTAAAATATATTAAAAAGTTTCCAATCCATCCTACGTATACTGCGCAAAACGTTTATATGTATTACTCTACACGGCTTCAATAAGAAAAAATTGTAATAATTCGATTATGTCTGTTACACAACAACGCCCGACTACGATTAGACTATAATACGAGTGTACTATTGACGTTAAAGACAAAATTCTACGCAAAGAGGATTTGCTAATTATGAACGTTGGTCAGCCAGAGTGAGTAATTACGTCAAATCATTGCAGAAATCTTTAACCAATTAGTGTTTTGTGTTTGTTTCCCCTTTCAAGATGCATATTTCTTCTAGATTATTATATGATCGTACTCAGTTGTTTATTTTTGATAGGCTATTTACGCATTCTAACAAGGTGTGATAATTAAAGCATATGAATGTTTACAAGAGATTTTACGTTGATATCTATTTGTTTATGGATATAAAAAGTATATAAGTGAAACATCAGCTACATATGTAGATATATTTCTTTTGAATGGGACTGTTATCTTCATGTAATGCAAAAAGTCACGAGTTTCCAAATTTCCTAGTTAAATCACAACAGCCTTCCCACTAGCTACGTGGTGGTTTTCAGTTTATTAACAAAAGTACTCCAGCCTGAAATAACATAAGGACCATAAAACCTTCCTGTATGTAAAAGAAGACATTAAATACATTGTATTGAAACATTAAAAAGCAGTACAACATTTACCTGGAAGCTGATCATGTGACGGTGCCGAGACATTCGTCAATAATAACTGACAAAAGTATAAATGACGACTGTTACAGTTAACATCGTTCCAATCATGTGTACGGCTATGTGATATGAAACAACCTTCAATATCGCCGTTCGAAAAATGTCTACTAGGTTCATCAAGAGAAAATGATAAGTAGTCCACAGGACTTTCGTCAGACCAATACAAGCTTGATTTATTCAAAGCCAATGATCTGTCTTCAGTGAATTCATCTGTAAAAACAAAACACACGAATTTAAGGAAGAATAAAAAGAAAAAGTCAATACTCTTTTTCTGTTAAGTATAATGAAGCTTAAAATAATTAATAAGATTGAAAGTGAAATATTAAGAACATAGATTAGAACTTTGGTTCACCTATTTCAATTGTCACACTCCAATGGTATCGACACGGACAGTGTACAAGGCTTTCATACATGAAATGATTTTTGATTACTAGGTTGTGTTTGGAAGTAGTCGACATAGTTTCGACTACCTTTGACCACCATTTCACATTTCAACACAGTGCATATTATGTCCACTTACTGAAGCCACCTTGCAGTTTGATAGATAGAAGTCATTCAGTACTAGAAAAACACAACAATAGTCACTACGCTAAATACTGAAAAATCAATTGAATTAACTTAACAGTCTTAAGTGAATTGATATTTATCATTTCATTAAAAAAGACATATACTCTGACAGTAATTTACAAAAGAGAAACAAGTTTTTTCTGCATCTCGTGTTGAGTTGAGAGAAAAGTCAGAAGTTAGGTTCTATCATACTCATGACTCGAAACTCATACAGTAATATAGAGTAAAATCTTGATCACGCACCAATATAATTAAGAAATTACAATATGCGCATAACTACACCATAAGTGGGAGAGAACTAAGTAATAAACAGTAACTTACAAAAGACACAATATAAAACAAAAATTTATGCATCACGGAAAAACTTACAAGCTAGAGAGTATACAAATACAATAATTTAGGTATTTTTGTTGAGGACGTTAGATCCCCAGAACTCACTTGGACAAGGTCCTAATTTTGTAATTTTATTCTGAAAATTTGAATTTTATGTTTTCGCTCCAAGAGATGCTTAGTTGACCTACAGCTTATATTCCACAATCGTAAATCCTTGACTGTCATCTATTGACGGATTTTTTTAGTACGCTATTGTGTGGCTCTCCCAATGGCGTTTCTATCATCATATAATTAAGCTTGATTAGTGTGCTGAGTGACCTCGTATTTTCTGAGTGTTGTAGAATACACTCTCTACGCCTCATTAAGACTTGATCTAGTTAGCAGGGCCGGGGACAACGGATTAGAATAGCCTATCGCGCCACTGTATCTTTGACCTTCGTTCCGTTTACCGAGTAAGGTGGACTCGTAATATCATTCAAGCATATCAGTTTTAATGACGGCGCCACAAAGATATAGACAAAAACTTCAGGTAGGGCTGTTTCAAATGTTCAACATTTGTAATAATCGTCCCGTTATAATACACATTGCTTTAGGTGTAACTCTCTTCACTTAAAACTGATTCATTATCAAAATTTCATATTAACAAAAAAACATTACACTGAAAATAAAACAAAATTACTTTAAAATGAGCAGAAACTTACGATGAATTTGTAAACCTAGCCAAACATTCACTTCGGTGTATAGTTTACTAATAAATGTTAATTCACTTGGACTGTGAACAGATGGTAAATGAGCTTTTCCGTCAACGAAATTAGAACAATGCTTTTCCGCTGCAGACCATGGAAGAGGTGTATCATGAATTGGCGAGAAACATTTATGTCCAAACTGAATCCAATGTGGAGGACAAGATGATATGAAATTATTACTGTCTTGAGGTAATGGGTGTTTATAATTTGCTTTATACAAAAGAATTTTTTGGGGGAAAAAAAATCACTTTTAGGGAAAGATTTGGCTTACTTAACACAGAAAATGACAATAGGCAAAAATGTAGTGGATGTGAATCATGGAAAATATTTTGTATTTTGAAATGTAACATGAACATGAAATTAGATCTTGTGAAGAAGAAAAAGCCACTAAAAATGCAATGTAATATTATTGTCACTTAGTCAACAGTGGAATAGTTGATCAATACAACTCGGTCAAGTATTATACAGATGAGACAGAGTAACAATTACTAATATTCGATATAAACGATTGGCAAATATCATTAATATAGGGTGTTTTAATGAGTTGTGGTTAGTGGAGTTTAACTGCCTCGGGTGTGAGACAAATTTCACCAATAGGAATGGATGACTGTTACGTATTATCACTCAATGATCGAGTTTAGGAATACAAACAATTAGATACTGATCTATTGGTCATAATAAATTATATTACTGAGTTATCACTCGTACGTTTGATAATATACATACACATCATTGATACATAGACAGTATATACATTGTTATGCAAAACATATATTGAATGTTTTTTTTTTAAAAAAAAGCTGAAGATGAATACATATTTTACTTAGTGTAGACACGAGCATGTGTTTACATAAATACTAATCAGTCAATCAAGTTTTAAACTTACTTGTATTATATGCATGCAGTGCACAGTGAAGTTAATTTATTAGGGATTGTTTTGTTTAAAGATGTTCATACATTCATTTCATTGATAAATAACTAGAATTTTTAATTTTGATGGTTTACATCTATAAGATGATATTCATCATGGATTGATTTAATGTACCAGTGAGAAGTGGGAAGATATTTTATACTAGTATGGGACTCCATTAGGGATAGACTGGATCCTGAAACTTTCAGGTCCCATGGAGGGTACATGCCTTAATTATCAGTAGTCAAATGTATCATATAAACTATAGACGCTTGTAGTATCTCAGTAGATATGTACAACTCTGTGCACCAAACTATCTATACGTGTGCATTGTCTATGGTAAATCATAGCTGCTGATTACGTGAAATGTATTTAACTTGCTTATTCGCCAACTATTAGATTAATCAACGAGATATAAGGCAAATTCAGATATATTAAATAAGTGGAAAAGCAAACTAAATGTAAAACATAATCTTAATCACTATCACTTCAATTCAATTACTTTAAATTTTAAAAATTCCTATATTGTGAATTAGAACATATATAAGTGAACAATATTGTTTCCGATTAGATCCTCATCAGGCTCTAATATACAGCAATATCCATATGCATATACGAAATTATTAAACCAATCAAGGCAGTTTATTGTTCAGTGATAACAGTGGAATATATTACAGAAATGTTTCACAATGGGAATCAAGTAAGTGATTTGAAAAAAACATAGAGGATGAAATAACATTCGTAAAAACTAGGATTGTGTAACAAGTGTTCAGATAATTAAACAATGAATCGTATATTTGCAAAAACAATAGGTGGGAAGGGATGAAGAAGAATAAACGAACAAAGAGTATGTAAAATGATGATTAATAAAATCATTTAATAAGACCAAGGGAGAGATAAATGTGTTGCAAATTCTTTACTAACACAAAGACTCGGATTGTTAACTCAGATTCCTATAGCTTCTGCTTGTGTAAGAGACGAGATCGAACCCATAAGAAAAACTAGTAGGAATACGATAAATGACTTAATTCTGTCTACCACACGGCCGCTATCCATCAAGTGTGATAGAACCGATCTGCGTATTGTCTTGACAGTACCTTTTACTAACCACGAAGGGAGGTGTTCACTAACTCGTTAACGCAGTTGTCTAGCAGTGTGCTTAATGTAGCTTTCTCCACATGAGCAGCTGAATTCGTAGATACCCATAGAACCAGATAACTTATCCTTTAGTCGAGGAATTACCATAGATCGGGTAGAGTACGACAGACAGAGATTATTTGCATTAAACGTCCTTTTAACTGCTCTAGTTAGTCTATTCCCGCAGCAAATCACCAGCTATATCTTCCTTGAACTACCGCTTCAGGAGGAGAGGTTTCTTACTAGCCGTTGATGTCGCTATTTTCTTGCTTGTTACATGCAAGTGTTTCTTCAGGAAACCTTATGGATAACCCAGTTTAATCAACATATTATGTATGAGCTATAGTTGTTTGTTTATAGAATCGACTGAGCATATCTTCTTAGCTCTAATCACGGGACATCTAAATAGGTTTCTCTTATATCGAACGGGCGCAAAGCTCAAGAAATGTGTGTACTGGCTTGCTGAAGAACTTTTCCTATACACACTTCTAAAGATATAACCACTTTCTTTTATGTTTAACAAAACGTCAAGCAAATGTAGTTTATTATTAAGTTCCTCTTCACACGTAAATTTGATTGCTGAATGTTTATTGTTAAATAACTCTAAAAGTTCTTCTTTTCCAATGTTTTGAGCGACGATAATGAAAGTATCATCAATGTAACGACAAAAGAGGTAAACCCATCGCCAATCCATCAATTTGTCTGTAATATGTGTTATTAATGACAAAATGGATATTCATAACACCTTTTGGAAGCAATTCTCTGAGGCTAACCTCGGGAATTAAACATTGATCTGTTTTCCAAGTAGTTGTTGGCAAAGTCAATAGTCTGAATTAATGGTACATTAGTAAACAAGGAAGTAACATTTAGAGATATAATTGTTTTCCATATAAGTTCGTATGTTCAACCTTGGAAGTGAAATCGAACATGTCTTTAACGCTTCTGTTGACGACCAGTTTTTGTAAGGATCTAGGATTCGAACTAACCACTTTGCAGTTTTATGATATGGCGAATTATATATATCTAAAACTGGATGAAGAGAAAGTCTAGTCTCGTGGACTTGGATTAAGCCACAGAGTCGTCGTGTGTTCGATCCAGTGGGTTCAAGTGAACCGTGAATGGTTGGAGTAAGTATTCCTTTATTTAACACCTAGTATCTAGACCACTAAGCCAAGGTTCAGTATTGTAAAAGTCTAACGTCAATCAGCTGACTATTGCCATTAAGTTTTTAATGGTCAACTAGCGCAGACTGCTTGGTGATCTTAAAAAAATCCAACAATCTGCACAACCCCTATATTTATATTATTATGATCAAAGGTTTTACAAAAGCTTAAATAAACATTAAACTTTACCTACGGCATACTTTATCTGTTATAAATAATGGCGTTTATCTAATTAAACACGTCGACTAGAAGGGATACATAAATTAGGAACTTACGCAAATGATATCCACAAATTGATGGTAGTTTCAACGAACAAGGCAAAACATCCATTATTGTATTGTCACGATTAATTGATACACAAAAACGACTATTCGAACTTGTAGATAGATTGACATTTTTATACGAGAAAATATAGAAATCATGTATCATTGAAGCGTAATACGAATCGTTATTCTCTGTTTTGTAAACCCACTGAAACAATAAGAAATTCAATACAAAATAAATATGATAGTAAGAGTTAATTAGTAATAGGAATGATAGGGAAAGACTTATCACAATCATGAATCTAATCTGTTTATAATATGTTGTAAATAAGTACTGCTTACTAGAAGTTATGCACTGTAATATGACGCATTTTCATGCACTTGTATTTGAGTCACATAGTTTTATCACTCAGGACAAGTGATAATACCTACATGTTCAAGGTAAAGTTTACAGAGCAATGTTCGAATCTGCAATCCTATAGTTGGAAAGTAAGTTTCAATAATTAAGCTAATAATCTACAATTTAATTTGGTATCCTTGTTTGTGATTGGTTACATTCGTACGTTTCATTGCCTTCATTCATCTTGCTATTCAAATTGACTGTCTTGTTCAGTTGACTTGTGACAATGTGGTTGACTGATCTTTATTGTACGGGTTGATAGATCGGATCAACCTCGAGTAATTTGACAGTTATGCTTCTACGAATTCTCTAGCATTCCTATAACTTCCTCGATCTAGAAGTGTACAAATGAAACATTTATACAATAAACTGTACAAACTGTGATGAACGCAAAATTGGGCTAGTGAAAGCCTCTTTCACGAACATATATACGAATACAAAATAACGGTAAAACGACATAGTATATTATCCCTGACATTAATACATGTTGATAACCACGGACATGAATTTGACCTATAGAACATAGAAATTCTGATTTGAGGGAATGCGAAGAATGCCAGAAAAATCCTAGAAGCACGGGATTCAGGTCAGTCGGCCACAAAGTCAGGGGTCAATTGAACGAAATAGCCAACTTGGACGCAAGGACAAATGAAGACAACGAATCCTACAACAACAGCCAGTCGCAAATAGAGATACTAAGACACTTGTAGTATAACTAAGGGAGTTACTTCTCCATGAAGTAAGCGCTGATAATGTTGTACAGAACGACAAGGAAGAGTCTATAAATAAACTATCTAGCTTGGAGAACTCAATAAAATCATATATATTATAGGCTTGAATGGTGACCTCGCGTACTTTGGTTTGGGTAACCTACTAGTATAATTAAATTCCAAATAAAGTATGGGACAACCCAGGTACACAAACCTGTACTTTTTGGTAGCAAAATAAAGAAATACAATATGGTAACAAAAAGAATGAATATAAAAATATAAATGTTACAAAATACGTGAATTAAATAAAGAAATTCCTAGATATTAACAATTAATCAGAATTTTCTTCACCTTCGATCTTAAATTTAAATCATACATAAGTGAAACACCTGTCCAAGCTCGATCAACAGTTAAATCAGGCGTAGTCTGTAGTAATAAACGCATGAAAGCGGTTTCGTCATTAGAATAAGGTGATAATTTGATACCGCATAGTGAAGAAATTTCAGTTTCATTACCAGCATAAAGATGATAACAACGTTCATTGTATTCATAATAATTAGCTTTGCATGCACCTTGAGTAAGGATAAGAGATGAAGTAGACACACTAGTACTGCTAATAGATGAAATTTTAGCTAAATAAAAAAAAGATAGAAAAAAAAGTAAGTTATTTACGGAAGAATCGAGAAAACAAAAACTGCAGAAGATAGATTCATTTTTGGGTTGCTAGTAGTTGATCATAAACACGCTTTTGAAGAATTGTTCATGTCTGTTGGGATTACCGAGTCAACAATACTGTGATTAGACTCAAGGTACTAGGTAAGAATGGCAAAACGATTGAGATGGTTAGAACATGTTATGTGTATGTTCAATCATCGCCTACCAGAATGGGCAGTGTTTACAGGTGTATAAGCAGGTTGACAAAAAGGAGTGGTCAAGCTAAAAAAAGTGGCATTAATTCACGATCGAGTTAACCATTGGATTTAGCTGTGTTTGTATATGTAGACTATCTGGATGGGGTTATTGTGATTATCACAACCAATAATTGGAGGTGTGTGATATAGTTTAGAAGTGGTGGCGATGATGTAGATGGATGTAATTTTTGTACTCCGTTAAATGGTGATTTTTAAAATTATTTCACAAATTTTACTCTGCTAATTCACATTTTCTTCTTGAATCATAGTCTGTACCCGATCATTTCGACTAATATTGATAGTGTTACTATTTCTGTTACTATGGGACGTCGTTGTGCTGATGTAGTTGAACTGATGTACATATTTCCAAGGTTCAATGTTAATTGTGATTATGACTGATTGAAATTCATACACAAACAGTTGAATAATAAAATCTATATACTGAATGTAGTGATACACGACTAATTAGTTACAATAGTGATTTTTAAAAAAAGACCAAGTAGAACGATTTTAACTAGGTAACATGAATTTAGTTTTTTTTGTTAGATGGCTTTCGTTGAGTGCTTAAAACTTATGTTTTAATATCGAAATTGCAAAATGGGCTGAAAGCGCACATAGAAATACGAACATTCTTCTACTCAACTCGTTGATTTTGCTCTTTTCCAAGTTAATAAACTATTGCTAAATTAAACTATTAATTGCGTAGTAAAGCAAAACTGGGAACATTTTAGTCAAGTGAATGTTTGTATATTCAGCAATTTTTTGGTGTACATAATAATGACACTACTAGACTGAATGAATATTAAAGGTTTAATTGGAATAAGATAGGTGGTGATTGAACATCGAATTTTTTAACCGATTTCCTTATTATTTATATAATACACATGAAATCTGGTGAAAATTTCTGTATCAAAAACAACAAACTCCACATAAATATTTGTGTGCGCTGGCATGCTGTCTGGAAATCGAAATCGAAGTAGACAGTTTTCTTAGGTGACCACCCTCCAAGCCTTTAACCTATAGGTTTATCCCATAAAGTAAGGGGAAAACCTAGAAAGACTTCATCTTATAATAGTCGGTGACCTGAAAATAACTTTATAGGCTATTTACATTTTACGCTTCAACAATAATTCAAAACTTGTTAATGAACAACAATCCCCCAAATGCCCTGGTACGGTCGAGGGTGGGAAGAGTCAGCCCCCCACTCGAAATGCTCTCACATAGCCACGCGTATACAGCCACTGCTACAGAAGTCCTATTCACTGACCTCTTGCGGTGAGGGTGTTGTTTACGAAACTGAGAGGATGAAAAGCGAATGTCTGGTGCTCTAACTGGGTTAGTGGAAACGGAGGGTTCACTAAGGGGAGTTGGAAAACCCTGATTCCGAGCCAATGGTGCACATGGGTTCCAGGATCCTGAGGGAACAAATGGTATATGGAACCGATTGTTGATCACTGGCCACCATGGGACTGAAATCTAGACAACACCCTCGTCTCGAGAAGGTAGTGAGTAGGACTTCTGTGGCAGTGCCTGTATACGCGTGACGATGTGAGAGCATTTCGGAGCTACCACCAAGTCAGTCAGTCAGTCAGCTACAACGTAGAACCAGGTACATATAAACGTCGGTGCAAGTTGCCACACCTCATTAGCACAACAAGATGAACACTAAATTCATAGAAGTTACTTGATGGTAGTAAAATATAAAAGAAAGATTTCATAAAAGGATATGATACAGGGAGAAAGAAGCAGTTCGTAGAAAGATATAAAGCCATTTTAATCTCACAGTTTAAGGGAAGACAAAGAGTGTATACACCTACGTCATTGTAATCGACTCTGAGCCATGTCACCCGTAGTCTCCAACCATTGGTTACGATAGTCGCGCAGACCCAAACCAAGTAGTCTGCATCTACCAACATGGCTAAGACTAGATGCCACGTTCTGGTTTGGCCGCCCCTACACTAGTCAGCATTGCGCGTCGTGGTAATCTGTGTTCAGCCATACGTAACACGTGACCCAACCGTCTCAGTCAATGAACATTCACATCCTCATCGACTGATTTACCATCATTCCCTAATACCCTGCGTCTAACGTCACTATTACTTACCCGGTTATCCCAGCAGGTGCGAGCAATATTTCTAAGGCATCTGTGATCAAATACTAGTAGCTTACGATTATCTTCTACTCTTAATCATCACGTTTCGCAGCCGTAAAGTAGAACAGAACGAACTGCTGCGCAGTATAGACGGACATCTCACCTTTGTCATAGGTGACGTAAGTTGGCAAAAGCCAAACGAGCTTTTCGAATCCGTGAGGAGATTTCGTCAGATACCAACCCATTAAAGCTGATCAGACTCCCAAGATAAGTGAAGTTGTCAACGCGTTCGACTACTTCACTCCCTATTCTCAGTTCAGGTGTTGACGCAGGCCAGTCCTGAAGCAACAACTTGCATTTAGAAGGGGAGAAGCTCATCCCAAACATTCTGGCATTGTTGCTAGTGCTACCAAGAGACTGAAATTTATGAGCATCTTCACTAAACAGGACTATACCATCTGTGTATTTTAAGTCGACAAGTGGACCTCCTGGAAAAAGATCAATTCCTGAACATTCAGTCAATGAGAGCGTTATTTTCATCAGTAGGTCTATGATGAAATCAAACAGACTTGTCGGACACTACTTGAAGTTGCGAAATCAGATGACAGTTCGCCATCAGCTATGACTCCACTAGCAGTGTTCGAGTAAAAGCCTTCACAAGGTTTATGTACTTCTGAGGTACGCCTTTCAATGACAGAAAATGCCACAAAGCCTCTCAGTCTACAGAGTCAAATGCTGCTTTTAAGTAAAATAAACTATCGTTGTCTGATGTCGACAAGCATGCCTGTGTTCTAAGACCTGACGAATGGTGAATATGTGGTCGATGCAGCCAAGACCAGGTATGAAGTCAGCCTGATTTTCTCATGTTTGCAGTTCACGAGTCTTTGTTAGGCGTCCAATAATTATTGGGGCTAATATTTTAGATGCTATGTTAATTAAACTAATCACTCTATAGTTATCACAGGATGATTTTGACCCTTTCTTATATATTGGAACAATCAGTGATTGCGACCAGTCAGATGGGATGACGTCCAACTCCAAGATTTTAGCTAAAATATCAGTCAACCTAGTCGCTAAAATAGGACCACCATGCCTATAGACCTCTGGAGCCAATCCATCTGGACCATATGCTCTTCCTCGTTTCAGACTAGCTATGGCTTTTTGAACTTCAATTGGAATTGAGGGTTGCCCACCACTGCTCACGATCGTTCTTTAGACTTTTGGTTAACCAAGATCTGATTTGCTTTCGCTCTTCATCATGTTCAGAGCATGGAATGGAATGTTTATGAGAATCGATTAGTGCAATAAACTTAGTAGAAATCCATTGGGTTTCATGACCCTATGGTTTAAATTACTAATATATATCACTGCTGTTTCAACAGCTGTTCGTATATCTTTCCAAGCAACATCTGGGTCAGTTTCGTATTCAGAACTGCCTAAGTGTTACCTCAGTTGTTGATGGAATCTACTTTTGACTTCCTCGTGCTAAGTTCAAATCTAATGGGTCTTCTTAATGTGGTTTCCCTGCATCCAGAGAGACGTAAGTAAACGCGCGCTCGTATTGGAGCATGATCGGGTCTAAGCGGGTATTCCAGAACGAGCGACAGTCTTCTATCGAGCCTCTCCAAAGATGACCGATGGCAATTTGGTCTATGTGAGTCCATCGTTGGTTTGGTGCAGGCGGTCGCCATGTTAGACGATGTCTCCTTATACTTAAAATTAGTGCTTGTTAAAAATAAACGATTGTCTGAGCACAGTTGCAGCAGACCATCACCATTATCTGTTCGCTGAGCCGGAATACCAAAATACCCATCTAAATGTCTTTCTGTTTGGTTTAAGATACCTACCTGGGCAGTAAAGTCACCTGCTACGTGTACTATTTCTGAAAGAATTGCTTTTTGAAGTTATGAAAGCTTTCTGTAAAGGTCATCCTTCACTTCATCCGGGCTGCAGTCAGTGGGAATGTAGGCAGAAACGACGAAAATGTAAAAAACTTGTGTCTCTATCCTTCCGAGTTCTTACGGAGCCGAACAGCACACAGTACTATAATCTCCACAAAACCCCTGGACTGGAGGGTGTAAACATAACACTGAGTACGAGGGCATAACAAGCACTATTAGAATGGATCCCCGTTAAGAGTCGTCTGTGTGCTGTTCGGCTCCGTAAGAACTTGGAAGGATAGAGACAAACGTTGTTGCCTTTTCGTCGTTTCTGTCTATATATATATATATATATATATATATATATATATATATATATATATATATATATATATATATATATATATATATATATATATATATATATATATATATATATATATATATATATATATATATACGAAGTCAGGACAAGCAGATTACACAAAAAGCTGGCAAACAATTAACGCTTGTGAACAGATAACGTTGAATGAGTCTTTTTAGAAATTTAAAGCAATTAGTTCATTTTATATAGTGTAATAAGAAGACGAAGATTATCAGAACTATGTGATACACTAGTGTGATACATTTCGATTGATCTTAACTCGAATTTTGTGGTGTTATGCAAGAGTCGAAGGACGTACACTAAGGTTTATTAAAGCCTTAACCATACGAAAATTCAAAACCCCTTTATGTATTCACAAAACAGTTTGTTCTCACCCTCAAATATCCTGATAATATCAGTTTATTATCCAGTGTAATGAGTTTCAGATTGTTGTTAACATTGTTTTCATGATTATTATCTTTGTTTCCGCTTACCTTTCACTTGTCCAGTTGACCTTTTAATTTCTCATATATTAATGTTCCTAACAAGTATGTGTGATCAGAATGTTCGAAATGTATTGTGCTAATCATCACATAGTTCTGGCAATCTTTAACTTCTTATTACACCATCCAAACATAACGTTGAAAAAAGAGAAACTTACGTTTAGCTGCAACCTGACAGATATAATTTAAAGAAGATGAGCAATCAACTTCTTCCCATTGTCCAAGATGCAATGGACGCTGGTGCATCATTGTACATAATCGCTTAATTAATAAGAAAGAAATATGAAGAATGTTTTAACTTTGCTATTAAAAGGTCAGTTTTATACAAGAGCATAGTTAGCATAAACTATCCCATTCCAAAATACACTCAGTTGGTGACGACTTGTACGGTTTCTAGGACTGAATCCACATGAGTGTGCTAACCAAACACGACCAGCTATCACTTTGAGGCGCTGTACTACAAACTAATCACCTCTTGTTTCTTCATTAACGCACAAAACATTGTAAATACTTCTGAAGATGAAAGGTGTTATATCCTAGCGAAGATTAAATTACAAGTAACTTCTGAGACCTATTAATGGACCAATATTATCTATATATTCTGATGGTATAACTATTCAGTAATTAGATTGTGTATATTTATATTCATCTTATTATAAGCTTCATTTTGATCTGTAGATCACTATTGTAAGATTTACCGTTCTTAACTTATACTCAGTTCATTAATTACAGTCTCCACAAAACCCCTTCTGATACTAGCCATATATGTATTTATTTTTTTGTCTACTCAAGCCGTCTATGTTTGTGTACTGTTGATATGCATAATAAATTTAACAGTTTCACTGCCGCAAAATGCCCTGGTACGGCCGAGAGTGGGGAGAGTCCGCTCTCCCTCTCGAAATACTCTCACACGGCCACGCGTATACAGCCTCTACCAGGGAAGTCCTACTCACTGCCTTCTCGTGGCAGGGGTGTTGTTTACGAAAATGAGAGGACGGAAAGCGAATGTCCGGCGCCTTAACCGGGTTTCAGACCAATGGTGTACATGGGATCCAGTATCCTGTGGGAACAAATGGCGTATGAACCAGTCATTGGTCACCGGCTACCATGCGACTGCATCTCCTTACGATGCTCCACTGCCTTGTGGGTCAGACCTTAAGTTTAAAGGCTCGGGGTGTGGCCCCCTAAGAAAACCACCTGCTTCGGTCTGGGCACCCGTGCAGTATCACAGTGTAAACACAAAAAATGATGAACTGTCTATTTATGGAGAATATTCTTCTTGCTCCGAATAGCAATCAAATGACTCACATTATTATTACTATTGTTACTATTACTATTATTATTATTATCATCATTATTTACTACGTCATTTATTCACTCTCTTTTATTCCCACTTTTTGTATCCTTATTTTTCGACTTATACGGCAGCTCGCCTATGGTGGAAACTCGGTTCTATCTAAACGTTTTCGAGTCACTGCCTAGTTGAAAATTGTATGCTACCACCAAATACGAATACTGGAGCAGTTTTTCTGAAACCACTTGCACCATACAAACTGGCTGCCTTCAACTTCCGCACACTTATGCAGGTTGGACAACAGATAGGGCTGGCTATGTCTTTGGAAATTCTTAAAATCGATGTTTGTTGTCTATCAGAGACCCTCATTCAAAACTCTAGTGAAGCACTACAAATCCCCTCTCCATCTGTCGCTTCGAAAAGCTTGTTTTACGTGCGTTTATCCGGGGACCCTGTGGCCTCTTCGTCTGGTCTTCCTGGCGTCGGTGTCGCACTAAGCGCTAGAGCTGAGGCAGCACCAATCGATTGAATCCCCATTAACAGTCGGCTATGTGCTGATAGATTAGAGAGTTTCATCAAAGTGAGAAAAAATCGGCGTGAGAAACGATGTATTTTCGTCATCGCCGCTTATGCCCTGACAGAATGCAGCCCGGATGCAATCAAGGATGAGTTTTACCACCAGTTATCTGTTCTTCTCCAGAAAGTGCGTTCGACAGATAATGTAGTACTAGCCGAAGACTTGAATGCTCTAGGCACTGAAGGGGATCGTTTAGGTGGCCGATGGGGACTTGTTGGTCGCAGAACAGATGACGGGGACCGTCTACTGCAACTATGCACAGACCACAACCTGTTTCTGGCTAGCACTAACTTCCGGCACAGTCATCGCCGATGTGCCACCTGGCGTCATCCCTCTGCATCCCAAGCCTGGACTCAGATTGATCACATCGCGATCAGCTACCGCTGGCGTGGTTGTGTACAAGACTGCCGCTCCTTTTGGAGTACCTATCTGAACTCTGACCATGCCTTGGTCTTCGCCAATCTTGACTTACTTTTCAGTGGCCAACGAAGTGACCGCCATCAACGGATTGATATTAACAAGCTGGTTGCAACTTCTGTTGCTAGTAAGTATCGAATCGAGCTAGCTTCTAGGCTAGCTACCATTCCACCGAAAAGTATAGATGATCATTGGTTGCAACTTCATGACGACATCAAAATGGCGAGTAAAGCCGCTTGCGGCTTCGCGAAACGTCCCGCTTATAAGCACTCGGTTTCTTCAGGCTCTTTACAACTCGTTGAAACCTATGGGTCTACTCCGGGTGACCGTGAGTTTGACCACAAACGAAGGAAGTTACGTAATGAAATCGGGCGAAACTTGCGTAAGGACCGAGAAGCCTGGTGGTCGGAGCGTGCTAATGAGCTGAAAACAGCAGCTACATCTATTAACTACCGGAAGATCTTCCAACTCATCCAAGCCACTGGCAGCAAGAAGTCTGGTGTGAGCGAAACAATCTGCGAGGATGACGAGATGCTATTCACTGTTCTGCCCTTGATGGCCGGTGACGACTGATCCACCAAATGAGGCGGAAGTCCGCAGGAAACTCCGACTTCTGAAGCGCTACAAATCACCGGGCGCAGATGACCTACCTTCGGCTCTTTTTAAAGATGGTGGCGACCTTCTGATTAAGAAGCCGACTGCGTTGTTTTTTCCAAAGGTCTGGGAACTAGAGAGTGTACCAATGTCATGGAATGAGTCGATAGCTGTCCCTATCTTTAAAAAGGGTTCACGTCGTCTCTGTAACAACTATCGGGGGATAAGTCTACTTCCGATTGCGTCCAAGCTATTGGCTTCCGTCATACTTCGTAGGTTGTTCAAAACCCGAGAAAGATTGACTCGCGAGGAGCAGGTTGGTTTTCGTTCTGGTCGAGGATGTATTGATCATTTCTTCACCCTCCGCCAAATGTTAGAACATCGCCATACTTATCAAAGGCCAACAATCGTAGTGTTTCTTGACATCAGGGCTGCCTTCGATTCGTTAGACAGGACTGTTCTCTGTGATTGTCTATTGAAGAAGGGTGTGCCTGAGAAGTTTATTAACATCCTAAAGGCCCTATATACAAACACCTCAGGTAGAGTGAGGGCATACAACCACCTTTCTCCATTGTTCCATTCAAGCAGTGGGGTTAGACAAGGTTGCCCAATCTCACCATTCCTCTTCAACTTTGCCATCGATGACATTCTGGAAACAGTTCTGATGGATGTAAGTAATGACAGTGTGGATCTGTTGCCTGGAGAAAGACTTCTCGACCTTGAGTATGCGGATGATATTGTCTTACTGAGTGATAATGCCCAAGTCATGCAATCCGCATTCAATCAGCGTCCGTAGTTATGGTATGTGCTTTGCACCTTCGAAGTGCAAAGTACTTTTACAAGACTGGCAGGATTCTAATCCTGTACTCACCCTGGATGGTGGGCAGATAGAAGTAGTCGAGAAGTTCGTGTATCTAGGTAGCTGCATAAGTGCTGGTGGTGGCGTGAGAGATGAGATCAATGCACGTATAGTGAAAGCCAGAGCTGCTTATGCCAATCTGGGTTATCTTTGGCGCCTTCGTGATGTTAGTCTGGCTGTAAAAGGTCGGATCTACAACGCGTCGGTGAAAGCAGTTTTGCTCTATGCTTGTGAAACCTGGCCTCTCCGAGTTGAGGACGTTAGACGACTCTCTGTGTTCGATCATCGTTGTCTCCGAAGGATTGCTGACATCTCAGTGGCAACACCATGTTAGTAATGCAGAGGTTCGGCATCATGTGTTTGGGCCGAGTGACGATAATCCGATTGGTGTCACCATCTTGAAACACCGACTTCGGTGGCTTGGACATGTTCTACGAATGTCGTCCCAGGGAATTCCGACGCTGGGACTGGTTGTAAAAAGCGGAGAGGTGGTCAGTGTCTGACATGGTGTCGTGGTATGAAAAAAAGCTGAAAAGGGCTGGCTTGTGTTGGTCCTTCACGACTCCCTGGCTGGGGTCCGAGAGATGGTGCAACACACTGGCTATAGACGTTATCAGATATGGCTCAGAATAGAAGCCAGTGGCGATCCTGCCGTAACCTTCTTTTATTTTCTTCATAAAAAATGGTTATTTCTTCTCTGACTAAAAGATTTTTTCTGACTGTATCTTTCCGTTTCCCCATTATTACTATTAATATTATTATTATACTACCTTACACTAATCTATTCGTTATTGTTCTTTTATTCTCTTCGAATTCTCATTGTTTTGTGTGGCGCATATATATTTGGTACCCTCTTGTACTATTTATGTGTTCAAATAAATAAATATATAAATAAACACAATCTACTAAAAAACAGGATGTAGTACATATTTGTTGTAAGCAGTTTCTTTAGTGGTAGCCCCCAACCTATAATGCCACCTTGACGTGGTGGCCAGGCTTACCTATCTTGATGAACCAGTCGGACTATACTGGCTGGAACAATCGTTCCTCAAAGTCCTAGCATGCCAGACACGTCGGTTGAAGAGCGGTAATACTAAAAGAAGCAAATCCAAGGTCCGAGGGCGGAGTTGTACTGCTTACTGTACAGAGGTGCGACGGCGCTAAGGTGTTTTCATGAGACAACCAGCAATACAGCGATGTTACCTTTCCACAAGGAGCAGTGTGGTTAGAAAAGGTCAATCTTACAAATACACGCCTCACCTTATCCCGCGGATTTCCGTCTGCGGCGATACGGTCTTAACAAGTACGGAGCTAACACGAAAATTACCCACCAGATCGTGTGTGACTAGCCTCAAGTAGTTGTCCCCTGGGCACTGCGGTCACGCTCTCAGGACCAACTCTGACCCAGTTTCCTTTTCACATACCTCTAGAAGAACACTTCCATGGTGTGGGCAACCAGGAAGTGATAACCGCCCTCATATCTTTAACAGTACTCAAGACTGACTGATATTCGTTGATATGCGACTATCGTAATCGAAATAAAATATAATTTACAGATTCATTATATCAAGAAATGTTTGTAATAGATGATTCATGAATAAATAATTTACTTATTCAAATTAGCTATTAGCCGGGTGTTCTTTCTACGCTAATCAAGTAGAATTAAGTTTACTATGCACATGATGCTTGTTTTTGAATAACAATAGACTTCCACAAACAAATTCATCTCGAACAAATCCAATTATCAAATAAAAATCCATTTTTTCACGTTTGGTAAGAGAATGACAGCTCAAGAATAATGACAATAGCACTAAATCACCGAAGTTATATTTCATAAAATTTAAAAAACAATGGTCAAGTGGTCATCGAAAACACGTGAAAACACATATCGTTCCAAGTTTCCACAGCTCATATCAGGATACCAAGAGAATGGAAGCTGACAAAACGATAGGCTAAGGATGAAGGAAATAAATTAACGATGTTGAAGCACTAAGAAATGGAAAAACATTATATCCAGGACTTAGAGGAAGGAAAGGAACATCTGTATTTGTGCCGTGTAATGATTTCGAGTCATATCACTCAACTGCTCCAACCATGGATCATGATGGTCACACACATGATCTAGTAAATTTTTTTTCATGTTAACCCGTTCACTAGGCACAAATTCAAGTAACTGGCTTTAAGCAACCCTCTAAGTGCGTCAGAGCTAATGATACTGTGTGGTTGGTTATCCAAACCGAAGTAGATAGAGTGGGTTCGAACCTGTGATCTAGCGATTGAAAATCGAACGTCCCAAGTATTTAACTTCAGCTACACCTGGAAATGCGCAGTTAATTGGTTGAAATTCATTTCTTTCCTTAGATTATAACTCATACGTTAAATATTGACTAGTTAACAGAACACAAAATAGTTCACCTTTTCAGTGTCGAGTATTTGTTTCGGATACCAATTTGTATAGTTGATAACATCACCACGAATCCATTTCCGTTCACTTTGATCAAGATACATACCGATCCATACCGGATGGGAAGAACGGGCAATTAATACAGAGATAGCATCTGTTTTTTTTTCGTGAAAAACAAAATAAAAGCAATGCACCGGATTATAAAATACGTGAATGTTTTTCATATAACAAAATAAAGACAGCTTTATTAGCTGACAGATGATGTGTTAGTGAATTTGAAATGTGGTTTTTATTACATAATGAATTTCTTTGAACCATTATTAAGAATTCAATAATGATTCCTAAAATCTAACTACGAACACAGTTTATCATATCATTTTTATTCGTTAAAAGCTAAACATATAGCATACTGTAACTAAATTACCGAAAACTGACAAATAAATAACTGAAGAAAATATTAGGATTAAACCTACCTTGTTCCATAGGTGATGTAACAGTAGCGAGAGATGCTAAAGTATTTGAGGCTTTACACTGTTCGTTCGCTTTGTCCCACGTTAATCTGCTGGACGGAACTTCTCTTAGCTATAAGTTAATATAACACGAGGTATCATTGATCTAAGCATTGTTTTTTGATAATCTCGTTAGTTAAATGCTTATAAGTAGTGACTTGCAAACCATGATGTGTAATTCACGAAAAAGTTTAAATGGAGGTTTTTGGTTAAGAAACTCGACTTCTAGCCATTAAGAGTTTCCGTCTTACACGTTACTTTACCTACACTGGTTCGAGAAGTGTCATATAAATTGTGTGGATCGAAGTCTAATACTCACAACCGCAGTTTCCAAGGGGATTGCAGAAATGCATCACTTTAGTTCAATCAACCAAGTTCAAATAAAATACTTGGAATCCAACTTTACTACTTCGTAAAAAGACGGGAAAAAAAGAAAAATAACAGAGAAATACTACAGAACGTGTAATCCAATGATCAGTGTATCCACGGTTGTTCTAATCCCAAAGTATCTGAATCCAGAAGTGCTTGAACAGTTGCATAAACTTTCCTTTCAGTAATTGATACATACAGCAAGTGGCGAGAAATTTTCCTCACGGAACATCCAACTGCACGCCACACAGAAAACTACGTCAACTATTCAGTCGTTTCGGGATTCCAGAATTGGTAGTTTGCGATAATGAAACACAGTTTACGTCCGCCGTCTTCTCAAAACTTTGTCGGTAGAACGGAATCAGTCATGTCCGGACACCTCCATCCCATCCCCAATCAAATCGCCAAGTAGAAGGTTTTGCTAGTACATTTAAAAATGCTCTGAAAAAACCAAATGGGAAGGGGACCACCGGAGAAATTTTAGAGGGGTTCCTGATTATTGTTCTACACTAAATCCTCAGACAATTAACAGGGTCTCATTAGCAGAAGCTTCACTCGGCAGAAAAGTACGAACACATTATGATGCCGTTCGTCCGACGCTAGCTGTTGATTCTCGACGAAACAGATTGCTAGAGAAGCAATTTGATCTACATATACATGGAGTACAAAGATGATTGTTTACTGTGGGTCAAAAAGTAATTGCTAAGGACTATCGTGGCAAACATTCGACAAGGGCAGCTGGTCGAATCGTACAAAAGAAAGGAAGTGTGGTTTACGAGTTATCAGTTGGCTCAGAAGTTTGGGTGTCACGCTAATCAACTAAAAGCAACTTCGATTATCAGTAATGACACCCGACATAGAATACATTTTGATGTTTTGCTGGACACCTTTGAAATTAAAACCCATCAAACAAACTGGCTAGTCTTTGTGGGAACAAAGGGTGATACCACTTCTTTATTGCTTAGGTGGACAGTTCGGAAGCACAGACCAGTCACGCGATTGCAGATGGATCCTACGAATCTGCTCGAAGGGGAGGCGTTAGCGGTATAAAGATTAGAGCTGATTGGCTATTTCTTAACCGATCAGAGCTAGCGGACAGTTACGGAAGACTACCGCTTTTCTTATTATGATACCTACTTCCAGTATTGATTGTTATTTCATTTTATTTGTGTGTGGGCTGTGATACTGCACGGGTGCCCAAACCGAAGCAGGTGGTTTTCTTGGGGGCCACATCAGGAGCTTGTGACCCAGAGGTCCAATCCACAAGGCAGTGGAGCATCGTAAGGAAATGCAGTCCCGTGGCAGTGAACGACCAACGATTGGTTCATACGCCATTTGTTCCCTCAGGATCCTCTCAATTTCGTAAACAACGCCCTACCCCCGCGAGAAGGCAGTAAGAATGCAGCAGTGGCTGTATACGCGTGGCCATAAACTCAGGTTATTTTCAATGCAACTCTAGATAATTACAATCCTATGTACTTCCTTTGGATCAACAAGCAAGAAAATGAAACTCGAGGATTCTCCGGGATATATTAAAAATCACTAATATTACACTGATACAGCTATAAATGTTTTGCACAATTAAAATATTATTGTTACCAGTCAATAAGACTAAAACCGAAATGATTAACTCACCAAGTAGCAGTTTTTATCGAACAGTTTGTAACCATGAGGGCAGATAAGAGTGCTCTGATTAGAAAATGGATGTCGATAGGATATTTGAGGAATATTGCCACACACAAAACTTAGTTTTGTATCACATGGAATAAACTCCCATGTAAAAAGACCTCCTGAGGCTAAAATTGAATAAGTATTTTAGTATTAACACTATACTCGAATTGCGAAATAATTAACAACTTTAAGATTTCAGCAAATCAGGATACAAATTCAGTTTGAAATATGGTATGGTGTGAGACTAAGGTATTGTAACTTACATATATTAGATATAGCACATCCTTCGACACTTCCCGGCCTGCCAGAAATAAAAATTTGTGGCACTGCAGAGTATCCAGATGACCATCGCAAATGACCGTTTTCAGTAAATAAGCCAATCCATGATGCGATGATTGGAGGCTCAAACTATGAATAAGTGGATAAACAATGATAACGATATTCAATAACACTTCTCTTATTCGTCTTGTAAATATTAGGTCTAAAACCAAACCTAATCAAGTCATCAAAAACCACAAACGTTAGGGAACTACAGCATATTCGTTATATAATGGCTTATGAATAGAATTATTTTATTGAGTAATTAATCACTTTTATCGTATTCTATGTAAACAATTAATTGGAAAGACTTGATAACTAGGCAGTTGTTTATAAGTTGACTTAGATATTACTGCGTGGGCTAATGGAACCACAAAACTACTGAAAAATAATCAGGTAGTGAAGTTCAAATTCTCAACAGTGCTTCAGATTCTGGTTTATTAACAGCAGACCAATCGTCTCACTGTAAGCCTAATTAGCTTTTAACCAACCAGAGTCAAGAGACAAAGTAAGAATCCAAAGTACGAAATTCCTCGAGTTCACTTCGACAAGATTGACGCACCATATACCTGAGAGCTTTTGGCTAGCAAAAGATTTATTATGTTTAAGAGAACATTTGGTACCATTTTTTGATCTAGAAACTACGTCTATAAATTTAGAGATCAAACTGGGACGCATTCAAGTCGGGAGATGCAACGATAAGTTGTCGGCAAATATTCACTATCGAAACACCTCTTGATCGCCCGCAGTTGCGTATGACAGAAAAATCAATCAGAGTACGGTATTACGGCCTCACGTTTTCTGGTACTTGACTACGTATTGATTTACAGGTTAAAAACTAAGCTTAAAGACTACCGTCAGGAGGAATAAACATCCACTACACAACGAAAGAAATCTCTAGCTTACTGCGAAAGCAAAACTTTGGCCAATCAGATCATTTTTGCGTTTGATGAAGCAGTTCTCGGTTTTTAAGCTCGGATGAGATGAGATGTACAAAGAAACACGGCAAAATGGTGCAAAACACCATATCTGCACCGACATATTTTTGGGAACGGTTAATTACAAATGAGTGAGTATAGGGTGTGAAAATATGCTTCAAACATTAAAGTTTTTTTAGAAAAGAAATGAGCCAACGTCATGAGATGAACACCCTGGAATCTTTAAAAATCTGAGCCGCACTTGAAAACTAATGTCTATTTAGGTGGGCACTATAAATCGATTCACTATAGTGACCCCTGTTATATGTTGAATTCCAAGACCATCCACAATGGAAATCGTACTGAGTAAAAAGCTATACCACTCCAAACCTGGCTTACAGTTTGGAAAAAAAAGTACTGTAGAAAACTCTTGATTTTCTCAACTTCGCTACCTTTTATGCTAATATTCGTCAATAATTGGACGAACAGTTTGACAGAATGTGGGCACCGGGTGTAAAAAAAACATTATTTGTGGAAATTATATTCGAACTAACTACAGGGGTCGAAATTCAACTAATTCTACAGTTCCGTCCAGCAGTCTTGTCTGGACTTTTTCAGGGTAATAATCAAGATCAAGATATTTAAACTGTTTATCTATTTTGTGCTACTGAGCTGTCCCTCCATCATGAGAAAATAATTTGCACGAATCACCTACAAAATACCTGGCAACTTGCTTATCTATGTACTTGCCAACACAGTAGTCAGTCCCAATACGTATAACATATATAGGACGAATTTGATTGAAAGGTCCGAAGTATCTAACTTGACAGTAGGGAAATGGAGAATCACTGTTTATCTTTACATCCGTACCCAAACTCCCGATTTTGAAGAAATTTCGAGGTTTTACACAAATTCCAATGACAATAGGAAGTCTTTCCAAATCTTAGGATGGTCCCCCAATTCCGGGGGGATTTTGTGCCATTTTCCCAAGATTTCCTCAAAATAGGAAGATTAGGTGGTCTTACAGCAGTACTCCATCAAAAAGCATGATAGCTTACATTTGCCTGAAACTCCCTCAAAAAGTTTTGCTGCGATTTTGTAGACAAAGTAACTAGAGAGAGGTTATGTTGTTTGCATTCAAGCTGAGCATCTTTAAAAGTCGCTGCGTATGAGAAGTACCGCAGACAAAAGTTTTTTCCTGTTTTTGTATCACATTTTACTGTGGAGAAATGAGTTACAATAAGTTCACATACTTTCAGTTCCCGAAGACCTTGCAACCAGTGAGAAAAACACAATGACCACTACCCTGTTGTAAAGGCACCGTAGCATTTCACTAAATATCGACCGCCGTGCCAGCATACCAATTACGAGGAACTAAAAGAAAGAAAATAACAATGATCAGTCTTCAGTAATAAGGATAGTAGGTTGGTGAACCTGTATTAATCCTGACACATTGCTTTCCAGTGAAGGTCCAGCTTCTCCTTGAAAGTAATCACTGATGGGGCTGATACCACTTGTTCGGGTAAGGCGTTCCAATGATTGACTACTCGATGAAAAAAACGGGACCCCACTTTAAGCTTATTAGATCGTGGTTTATGAACCTTCTTGCTATGACCTCGGAGATTATTAATGCTGGAGGGAGCAAAAAGATAAGACATATTAACACCCAAATCATAATTAAAGATACGAAATGTCAGTATAAGGTCACCTCGTGTCCTACGATACGACAAGGGAGAAGATTTAAACGCTCATCGTAGGGGAGACTAGAAAGACCCTTCACCAATTTCGTTCCTACACGCTGGACACGCTCAAGGGAGTTAGTATCCTTTACCAGACACGGGCTAGCTGCTTGGATACAGTACTCTAAATGTGGTCTAACATATATGGGATATAAAATTCGAAACGTTTCCTCGTCAAAAGATTTGAACGCTCGGCGAAGTGACTATAACGCACGAAAAACTTTGACAACGGCTGCCTTGCAATGCGTAGTTGTTTTTAAATCATGACTTATTACTACTCCTAAGTCTTTACGCTCTTGAACGCACGGAAGAGGTTTACCCTCAATAGTATAACGGTAACTATTACCGTGACCGATGTGCATTAGCACACTCTTCCTAGCATTGATTTCTAAGCCCCACTCTCGAACCCATCTAACTAAATCGTCTAAGTCAGCTTGAAGATCCAGATGATCAGCCGTACTTTTTATTGTTCTCCAGATTTTTACGTCATCCGCAAACAATAATGTCGACGATCTGAGTAACAGCGGTCACTCATTAACGTAGAGAAGGAAGAACAGAGGGCCTAAGACGGTGCCTTGCGGTACACCACTTTTGACCGGCTTCCAATCGGATAGCGTTCCGCTGACCCTCACTCTCTGTCTGCGGTCACATAGGAAGTTTCCTACCCACTCATGTACAGTACCTATTAATCCGAAGCTCGTGAGCTTCTGCATAAGACCTACGTGTGAAACCTTGTCAAATGCTTTGCTAAAATCTATGGATATCACATCGACAGACAGACCGTTATCTAGAGCTGCTGTACAATCCTCCCTCGCAATAAGCAAGTTAGTCAAGCATGAACGCTTGTTACGAAATCCGTGTTGCTCAGGAGCTAATAGATTGTGTAAATCTGTGTGGCTTAGCAACCTAACCCGGATTATCTTTTCAAGTAACTTAAAGACCATGCTAGTCAGACTGACAGGCCGGTAGTTAGATACTATCTGTCTCTGACCGTCCTTAAATATAGGACTGACTCTAGCGTCCTTCCAATCTCTAGGGAGCTGAGCGAGTGAAAGGGACATGTTGAAGAGTGTCGCGAGCGGTTTTGAAGTAATGTCCACAAGAGGTGGTAGTAACCGTGGATGTAACCCGTCAGGGCCCGGTATCTTACCAGGTTTGAGGTTAGTTATCAACGGAAGGACAGTTTCCTCAGTCACTTGTACAGATTCAATGGTTGGTATCTCAGTGTGATTGGGACAAGTATTTGTTACAATAAACGTAGAGTCGGGCGAGTGACTCACAACAATGTTAGACGAAGCTTTACTATGGGACTTCGGCGGAGTGGTCTGAAAGTCCACCAAGGACTTATCAAGTAACCGGTCATTAGTTTAAGCTGTCTTTCCTACTCTTCTGCGTTTCCGTGTCATCCATATTCCATCAGTCGTAGCATCCACATTAGAACCACTCAGGACAGTAATTGTTCTATCTGTGTCACCGGTTGCTGCTGTAGCAACATGGCCACCAATATCTAATGAGGTGTCACTTAGTGATTGTTTCGGGGTAGACGGTTTAATAGCGGGTTGCACAGTTAGATGTCTGGCTTGCGCCGTGACAGCACTTACGACACTGACGCAATCTTCGCCATCAGTACCAGTGTTGCCAGTACAGCCCTCATCAACCTTCTTATTAGCCAACACCAGGAGACCAATTGCTTCCTGAATACGCAATGTTTTGCTCGAGCAACAAAAACTACGAAGCCAATGAGAGTTGGGCTTTGAGCACCTTTTATATGCAGTGGGGCTTAATCGGGTGCACATCTTATGGAACCAATTATTACATTCATCACATTGCATCCCTTCCTCCACGGGACATAAGCAATATGGTTGTCCACATTTATGAGTAGACCTAGCCATCTTGAAAATCAACTAGAACGGTGACAAAACGGGATAGGTAGAGGGATTCTCAAACCTTAACTAAATAAATCAAGTAAAAGTCGACCAAGTATGCTTCGATGCAATAAAAACACAAAAGCAAAATCGAAACACTCAATACAATATCACTTTAACCGGGGTAGATGCAATTAAAGTGTAAACAGTAGTTCTGATGCGTAATTTACGATCAAAACAGTAAACTGGTCTGGAATTGATCTAACACAATAATTTATAAGATTAAAACCATCTTTTAATCTAGAATCGTTCTCCTGCAACGTAAATCCATAGGGATCCTGTCAGTGGACAGAATTCCTGCCATTAGTTATGTTGGGAATACGAATAACTGACAAAACTGACTCACAGTTTTCAGCACCGAAGCTAGTTTTTTGGGACGGCTCTGAGACTACCGAATAGGTTTATAGGCCCTCATACTAGCAGTAAAAAGCTTGATTTAAAAAGTTACATAGACAAATTACGGAACGTGTGCTCAAACTTAAAGCAATCAATACTCGAGAACAGTTGCGAGCGACGTATGTACCTAAGGATCTATCCAATTGTCTAGTCAGCCATTCGAGGGTCTATTCAAAGTTATCTCAAGAAAATCAAAACATTTCGTGATACAAAAACAAGGAAACATCGACACCGTAGGCTGAAACCGGCTTATCCAGATCATGAACCATCCTGCATCTTGTTAGACCGCCTGCTAGAAATCAATCTAAGGCTGGCTGGTTATCACGTGATTTATTCGCCAATCCAAATACGACTTACTCAATCTAAGTACTGTGCTAAACCAATGACGTTCAACTGGTATGACCAGCCCAGTGTCCTTATTATTCTTTCGTTCACCTAGCCCGTCCAGTTGAGTCTAGTACATCCATAACAGCTTCCACTATGCGAACCATTTATTTCAAACGTACTTATATACCAACCAAACAGACCGCATCATACCATAAATAAGGGAATTACATTTACACAAGACCAAGCCTAAAAGTGGTTGTAAACTTTGGAGACTGTAATTAATAAACTGAGTATAATTTAAGAACAGTAAATCGTATAATGATAACCTATAAGTCAAAATGAAGCTTGTAGTAAAAGGAATATGGATATTTACAATCTAATTAATGGATAGTTATGCAGTGGGAATATATATAATAGTAGTCCATTAATAGTTCTTAGAAGATATCTATAATTTAATCTTCACCAGGATACAACACTTCCCTTTTTTGAAGCATCAGGGGTAATAGCGATCCTCAGGAATTATTCTTCTCAGATTAGGTTTCCGCCTGATGCGCTGCGACCACATTGAGAGTGTTTTGCACGTTCTCTTGTTATTCGAGTCCGTTTTAGTTTTTTACCCGATCCACTCAATATGTTTAATAGTAGATCCGGCTTTATACCACTTCCTGTCTCCCACTCGTGTCTGGTTGGCCGTATCTGGTTTGTGCGTCGAACCTATAACTTTAGTCCAACTTTCACTTCATAGATGACTTTCCCTTTTTCAGATTATGACGCCAAACTGCCAAGTTGGTTTTACTCCCTGGAAATCTATTGCTATTACCGCTTCTCACACACTGTATTTTCCGGGTAATGCATCTTGTCGCTCATTGAATTACCGTTCCGTTTGTATAACATTGCTGTGTATAACTTAAGAACAGTAAATCGTATAATAATAATCGATAAGTCAAGATAAAGCTTGTAAAAAGAGCATTATATATATTTACAATCTAATTCAACGTAATGATTACTCAATGTAGTGTTTGTTTTGTTTTCTCGTATGATATTTTATTCTGTATATTATACGATATTCTTGTATTCAATTGACATGGACTCTGCTCAGTATGTGATTTGTTATAACTCTAAGTATTTTTATATATGTGATTTCACTCTTATTATTAATCAAAATTGGTGCACAATCAATATATAAATGAGCGTGTTTTTTGACTAAGGTCGTCGTCGTGTTTTGGGGTTAATAAATCTTCACTTATACCAGTCTTTGTGGGAGTCCCTCGTCCCGAGTATAAGTCTTAAGCCTTTCCGACATAACAATCACTGACGACCAGATATAACAACTAACGTTCAATTGACAAGTCGTAGAAGAGTCGCCCAATGTTTTGTTTTCTTATTCCGAAAAATGTACAATTTTATACTCCTTCATATACTTTGATTAGCTATTAGTCCTTATCAACGTTAAGCCACATATAGTATAGCCTTTTTTTACTGTTACCATTATTTATCTTCACAGCAGTGTGATATAATAAATGGGTTATTATTATTATTCACAGACATCTCATGGATACATAAGTGTAGTGAAGAAACCATTTCGGGTTTTGTTATGACATTGGATGTCTTGTTTTGCTACCACGCGACCTATCTACCAATCCGAATACGACTTATACGAATCTTCACACTAGGCCAACCAATGACGTTCAACCGGTGTGGGCAGTTTAGCGTCCTTATTGGTCCTATGTCCTACGAGCCCTTCCACTTGAGTCCAGAACACAATACCAGCTTCCGAATCAGAGCAGATCGTTTATTTCAGGCATACTTGGTCTATATATCAATCACACAGACCGCAACGTACCATAAAATAGGAAATAATATTTGTACACAAATAAGCCCAAAAAGTGGCTGTGAATGTGGGAGGCAGTAGTTAATAAACTGAACATAACTTAAGAACCGTAAATCGTACAATAATAAATTATAGGTCAAA